AAACCTAATAAAATTAGTAAATAATATATTAATATTAGGAATTAAATAGATAGATATATACTTTTGCCCTAAGATTTCTAATAGAAATTATTATATAATTACTCTAAATATTCGAGTTTAGCCTACTACTTTCTCTTATATACTTCTGCCTCAAAACTTCCTCTAAGAAATCTATATCCGGGAAATAATAAAAAGAATAGGAATTAGCTAAAATATTAATTCCTTAATCTCTTAATAATTAGATAGTAGTATTTTAAAGTTAGGTTTAACTAGAAAATAATATATTATCTAATATAATAATTAGTATAGAAATAATAGAAGCCGGAGAAGAAATAATAGAGTTAATTATACTATATAATAAATACTTTACTATAAAGAAGAAATATAGTACCTCTCGTATAAAATAAGAGTTCTATAGATTAATATTATTTATTATAAATATTTAGGAATAAAAAAATAAGAATTTGATTTATAATCAAATATTAGAAGAAAAGTATAGCTAATAAATCTAGTAGTTTAGTAGTTTAGTAAATAGTAATATAAAGATAATTAGTAGAATAGAACTATAATATATTAATATTATTTTAATTCTTTAGCCTATATTCCTATAACTTTTTCTCTTAATAATTTATATACTAGAAACTAATTTCGAAGATTATTAATAGTAGTATATTACTAATATATAAAAAGAAATAAATACAAGAACTATAAGAAGTATCTCTTAGTATAAATTAAAATTAGATTTATTTTATTTATTTCTAGTATTATTATTACTTAAAACGTGGTTTCCTATATTAGGGGCAATAGAATATTAAATAAAGAGCTATAGAAATTAAGAGAGAAAAATTAAATTTCATATATTAAGATATAACTTTTATTATTTTTACTAAATATATCTTGTAATTACTTTAAAAGTTTATAAGAACTATTAATTTAATAAAGCTAGTATTAATAGAGAATTTGATTTATATTATTAAGTCCTTATTACTAAAGTAATAAGTTAATAGAATAATTATAAGAAATATAGAAATTAAAGAAGTAAGAATTAACTTTCTAAAAAAATGAATTATATAATCTTTTAATATTAAATTAGAAATAAATTACTTATAACTATATGAATTTAACTTATTAAGCAAATAACTATTAACTTCTATAATTAATTACTTTAGTAAATATTAATGTTTTTAGCTAATTCTTTCTTTGAAATATATATTAATATATTCTTATTTAATTTCTCTAATACCAGATAAATTATCTAATATTTATAAGAGGAATTTCTAGATTATTTTCCTTTTCTACTTTAGACTTAAATATATATTTATCTTTTATATATTACTTATATTCTTAACTATTTATAACCTAATTACTATTTGCCCTATTAAAAGTAGTATTATTTATAATAAATTTAGTATCTCCTATATTATTTTTAATCTTTGCTTTATTATTAGAGCTAATATAAATAAGATCTTTATTTCTATAGCTAGTATCTCTCTCTTTATTAATAGACTAAATACTATCTTAATTATTATAATTCTTTAGCCTTGTCTTTTCTAGTTCTATAGCTACTTCTAGTAATAAATTTCAATTATATATATCCTTGGGTATTAATAAAAGCCCTAGCTTTAGTCGAGTATTCTTTATATTAATTAGGTAATTATTAATTAATTCCCTTAAATATATATATATATTTAGGTAATTCAGATCCCTATTTATATTATATATATATTTTATAATTAGAAATATAAAGCCAATATTCTTAAGCTCTTACTTATACTATTTAAATATAATCTCTAGTAAATATATGTCTTTATTATAGCTAGTATATTCTTTATATAGTTCGTTTAGTTTATTAATATTAATAGAAATATTATAGTTCCTGACTCTTTTTTATTCTAAAAATATATAGTTCTAGAAAAGTTACCCAGAAATAATATATAAATAATTAGGCTATTTCCTAATTAATTAAATATTTTATACCCGAATAAACTTCTTAGTTTACTTTTATATAATAGGCAAATAGACGAAAAGTATAACTATATAATTAGGGAAAAACTTATAAGAATAAAGCTTTTAAGAATATAATTATTTAAAAAATATCTTCTATTTATTTAATATATTCTATATAATATTAGCTAATTAAATAAATCTATATAGAATTAGTATAAATAAATTACTTTTATAATTTGTTTCTATTATATCTTAATATATTAATTAGCTATATTAGTCCCGAACTAATAGAGATCTAAAAACTAATATAAATTAATATCTCTTATCTAATATATTACTTTATAGAAAATATAATAGATATTTATAATTATAGGCATTTTATATCTTTTATTTAATTAAATATAAAATAAAATAATCTCTATTTCATTTATTAAATTAAGGTATTAAACTAGAATAATAATCTAGAAAATAATATAAGTAAATATATATTAGTATAATATTAATTAGGCTAAAGGAAAATATAATATAGAGATTTAGGGACTTTATTACCTAAATTAAGTATAATTCAAATAACTAGTTCTTTATAATATTATAGAATTATATAGCCAGAATTATAATTAAGTAAATATATTAGTATAATATTAATTAGATTAAAAGAGAATATAATATAGAGATTTAGGGATTTTATTACTTAAATTAAATATAATCTAAATAACTAGTTCTCTATAATACTATAAAATTATATAGCCGGGATTATAACTAAATAAATATTAGTATTTTCGAGGAAATATATTTATACTAAATTAGGAAATACTACTATTTATAATATAGCTATTTGAGATTCTAATATAAATCCAAGATATAAATTATAAGTAAGTATTAATACTAGTATTATAAGTATAAGATCTAGAGCCTAGAAGGCATAATTAGACTATCTTTATTTCAATAATTCAAAGCTAAAGAAAGAAGAGAATCTCGAAGAAGCCTCGGATCTAAATAATTATAAGCTATATATAGGCTCATATACTAGCTTAAGCTCGGGGTTATATATAATAATTAGATAATTATAGATATCTTACTTAAATATTAGATATCTCTCTTAGATACTAAATATCTTACTAGCTTTAGTCTAATTCCTACTAGTATTATATATTATAATAACTATAATAACTAGTATATATCTTAATCCTATAAAATTATAGCTAAGTAAACGAATTAGTAATTATTAAAATAATAATTTTTAAAATTAAGCATATACTATACTTACCTTATAATAGCTATTAATAAACTAAATAAAGTTCGGCCTATAAATATTATATTTCTCTCTAGCTATCTTTATTTCTTCTTATTAATATTATATACTTTTAGGATTAAGTTCCTATATTATAGAAGCTATTCTATTTCTAGAAAACTTCTTATTATTATCTAGGAAATTGAGATAAGTATATAAAAGCTGGCAGCTATAACTTCTAGTATTACCTTATAGGCCTTTATTAATTATATATTACTTGAGAATATAGTATAATTACTTCTTTTCTAGCTTAACTTGCGAATTAAGTATTTAATATTAAAGGCCTATAGCTCGGCGAGTATATTGTAATAGTTATAAATTAGGAATATTATATCCTAAGCTCTAGAGATTAGCAAGTATATTAGTATTAGTTATATAGATATTATAAAAGAACCAGGTAATAAGAGCCTTTACCTGAGGAGAAGTCTTAAATATCGAATACTAGGAAGGCGCTTTCTAATCTAAAAGCCTATTACGTAAAGTTCTAGGGGAAATATTAACGTTAAAGTTATACTTTAATCTCTTTATAATCTCGTTATATAATAACTATTACCTAATTAAACAAAGAATATGGGCTTAATAATAGTTAATATTAATTCTTAAACAAGGTATTATAAAGAGATTAATAATAAAAGATTAAGGAATTAAAGATAATAATAAAGGAATAGAAATATGAAAGAAGTATGCCAGTGGCCTAATAGTTACAAGGGGGCATGTCACGTGCATTTTATTAATTTTCCCACCCTATTACATTCCCACCATGGAATATAATAAAACACTATATAGATTGACTGTTTTAATTATATTCTACCATAGGAATTACTTAGATTATTAATAATCTCATATTTTTAAAATATCGCAATTTTGATTTTGCGAAAAAAATAATAGATGCCGTAGCGTCCTTAAAGGAGCCCGTACCCGCAAGCCTCATCGAGATTCAAATATCCCCCAGCCGTGAATGCCACAATCTCCCGCTGGTCACCTCCCAGTCTTGAACATCCCGCCCCTTAAAACCCTGTTTCACCACATCAACCACACTTCACCCTATTGTCCTTGCCAAATGGCAAGAACAAAAGAAACAAGTCGCCGGCTCCCTTCGCGGCCACCGCGGCTCATGGCGTTGCCCCTTGTTCCCTCTCACCAGCCTGGCCATGCCGAGGCCACGCTGTGCAGCGTCTGTAAAGACGTGTCCAGACGGATCAGCCGAAAGATCTCTCGATGGCCAAAGATTGTTGAGTACGATTCGAGCAACGAGGAGGCCGCGAAATGGGTTGCAGGTGCATGGCCGGAGGACCCTAATGAAGCCATACTCCTATTTGAAGGCATCTCTGCGCGCCCTGCTCCCAAATTGTTACCGCCAAACGTGATCAAGCATGTGGCTCATGCTAGAGATCTTATTCGTTCTGGGAGAAAGTGTGATTTCTGTGCCATGATCAGAGACACCATCGTCGTTGCTCATACCTTGCAGCAACCTCGTCTGACACTGGAAGATTTGCCCCTCAAAAAGATCTTGGCGGCATCTGAAGCTCACGCAGTTTTTCTCCTCGATCCCTTGTATTCTAAATCTCGAGTTTTCCTGTGTTTAACAAGAGTTCAGCGGCCAGAGTTTCAAGAGCCCTGTACTCTTCAGAATATAGAAGTTGTCTTGGAACCATCCAGTTCTCCATTATCAACGTCGTCAGAGTGCCTACGAGGATATATAGCAGTGGCCGCTGTCAAAGGTACCAGTTCTTCAATTGTCAGCCCCCCGACCGTTCAGCTGATGCATCTCAAAGGAAGTCCTGCCGCTCGAGCTATTGCAAAACGCCCTTTACCTTGCCCGTCTGATTCTGATGCAGCCTTCAATTGGGTCAAATCCGAGATTCGAAGTTGCGATAGGACTCACATCCCCTGCCGCTTTTCCGTTGACAGACAAGCCATTGGCCACCCAGATGATCAAATCCTACCAACTCGTATCATAGACCTGACTGAAAATGACATATCTGGAAGTCTGCGCTTGATTGAGACGCATGGCCAGAAGAGGGGACGCTGGGCCGCCCTTAGCCACTGTTGGGGTGATCCCAAGGCTTCCCCACTAAAAACAACTAGTGCTACCTTGGCTCAGCACCTGGAAGAGATCCCCTTGAGTGCACTGCCGGAGACATTCCTCGACGCTATCAGAATTACCCGCAAGCTGGGGTTAAGATACATCTGGATCGATTCCATTTGTATCGTTCAGGATGACGAGAGAGACTGGTTGAAGGAAGCCTCCTTAATGGGAAATATTTACCAGCGGGCTTACGTGACGATCGCGGCATCTGACTCTCCCAACTCACTTCATGGCTGTTTCAATAGAAGGTGGTATTCAACCCTGTCGTTGCAATCTCTAGAGCTTCCTTTTTATAGTTGTCATGGATCTACTGGGGCCTTGAGGCGTCGTGGGACCTTTGCAGCTAGTATTGAGTGGCGACATCCTGGCTGGCATCCGAAAACCGATAGAAGGTTGCGTGATATTGTTGACCTATTCCGTCCGATGAGATCGGACGATACGGGCCTTAAAGATGCCGTGCTACAGTCAAGAGGCTGGATCACACAGGAGTGGATTCTCTCACGCCGTATAATACACTATCGTCAAAATCATATATTTTGGTGCTGTAGGGTGCATGGTGTAAAGGATAGTGGTCAAGAGTTCGAAGACGTCATCTACAACTGGAATATGTCCGGAGTCAGCTGGAATGATGTGGTCGAAAGGCATAGTGATAGGGCGTTCACATTTGCTAAAGATAAGCTCATATCTCTGGATGGACTTGCCACAGCGCTGAAGCAGTGGCAGGGTGGTGTTACCGAAGATTTGAATTGTCTAGAGGAAGGGCAAGAAGGGCTCGATATTTCGGACAACGACAGCATGGTTGAGCGCTGGCGGCGGCATTTTCATGGCGAATACCGGTTTGGTATCTGGTCAGAAACGTTGCCGAATTGTTTGTTTTGGATACCGGTAGGAATTCACGCGGACCCTCACATGGCACACGTTCCAACCTGGAGCTGGGCTTCAAGAGCTGGACGTGTCAGCTACGGTCTGGCCCATCATCATTTCGAGGTGAACGAGTCAACCGCGGCGACCATGCGGTTCTCGAGTAGGCCGAATTCGCTTATCGTACTGTCAAGGGCAAAGCCTGTACAACACCTGAAATTCATGCCTTGCACCATTGAAAATGAAGGCCAATTGCTAGTTGAAACCGACAACGGCGGAGTGTTTCGGGCCTACGAAGATCTCATCGGACTCCCGGACCGGCCAAATTCGCCTGGGATCCATTTCTTTCATGCCTGTGCTAGCGATTCTGCAGAGTTGGGCGCGGAACTCGGTTGGCTCTGCTTCGACGATGGAAATTTTGAGCACCGATCGCCGTCGTCCACAACGCTGTTCCTACTCATGGGGAAATCAAGCTTCTCCAACAACGCGCGATGGTCCTTTTCCCACGAGACTAAAGGAAAAAAGGACCTCTATTTGGGAATTCTCATTGAGCTGTGTGGGGGCAAGTATAAGCGGGTCGGATTCGGAACGCTTCTGTCCAAAGAATGGATGGATGATGTTGAAACCCGGAAATACTATCTTTTTTGAACAATTGATTGAATTTAGGTAAGAAGGAAGTCCTTATGCCTGTAGAGGGGGTTCCCATGGAAGCTGTTAGATTGGCAAAGTCCCGTCGGAATTCAGCCAAGTAGAAATTTGAGCTGAACAACTGGAGAATCTCGACAGAACACGTCAATTAGCGTGGCCCTTCTACATCTCTCATATTTACAATAAATCATCGATCAAATTAGAGAACTGAAAAGTGTAATTGAGCACTTTCGTTTACCATTTTCTTTTAGTTCCTGCTCTGCATCCGACTGGACATCCGCGCACTCTGGTGCGTAGGAAAAACTGACTATTATTTGCCACCTCACGCTAGAAATTCATGTGAGGGTAATATAATTAAGTAACAACACATAACAAGCTGCTTAAAGCACAGCATTCCGCTGACAATATAATTTCTAGAATGAGGCACGTGATGTAGAGAACGACTCTTAGGTATCTCCGTTGCCATCGGGATGAGGTCGCTAGCTAAGATAGGATAAGTGTGGTTATGTGTCTTGGCAGTTTGGCTGAATTTAATCTACTGATCAGAGCGGAAGCCGATTTCGCTGGTGACTGTACATGGAAGGCTGAGCAAAAAGATGTTTTATTGTCAGCCCAAAGTACTGAAGATGGGTAGATTAACGTTGGATAGATTTTTCAAGCGTATAGGACAGTATAATGTTAGTACTATATAAATACTCTTTAAGCAAGCAGGCACTCGCCGTTCGTGTTTGAGCACTCAATTGAGGCACCTCTGCCGATATCAGAATTCCAGGCCAAATTCGACGTTACATCCGGAACAGGAACTTAAGCGAACGCAGGGTCCGGAGATAGGCTAGCCATAGAAGGTTAGTGCCGCATAAAATGTGGGTCAAAAAAATTATTGAGAGTCGGAACTGAAGGAACTCTACTGTATCCCTTCGTCTGGCGAGACATAGTCCACGCTAGCAAGGGGGCCTGGCTCAGACTGGAAAGTCGTAGCTTCGGTTAGTCATCCATTGCCTTTTCGCCCTGTGCCAGGCCCCCTTGCTAGCGTGGACTATGTCTCGCCAGACGAAGGGATACAGCATGGTTCCCTTTATTCGGTTTTTTGAGTGGTACAGTACCGTATAATTTCCCCCCTCTCATTTGGTTCCAGAAGTGACAAAATCCCAGGTTTATACTAAACGTATCTGCGTCCTGCCGCCAAAACTTTTATTCTCCATCGCAGCCTTAGCATCTATCACACCATGCACATAACACGGTCCCACAAGAGCCCAATCAAGAGTATCATCTCCCAAAAGCCGAATCACAAATGGCACATTAGCACCATCCAAAAAGGCAACTGAATCATCACAATTATCCTTCGTGTTCAATGGTGCCAGACCAGCGTACCCATCAGCAGCCATAAAGAACCGGTAATTTCTGAAAATATGGACTAAATGATGAGTATAACTCCAAGCTCGGCTAGCTTCTTTACTTCCAGTACTGTAGAAGTTATAGCTAACGCCATTGACCTTCCCTTCCGCTTCGGGGTTCTGGCGCTCCCATACCACGGCTTGATATACCTCCCCATCTTCCTCTATACAGCACTTCTCATAGTTTATCCGGACGTCGAGGGGATTTATCTGTTCGCTTAATATGAGATTGAATGTCTTGTTGTATTTATCATCCGTGCCTCCTCCAACCAGAGCGTATGCAAAAGCCCTAGTGAGATCCTCGCAGCCTCCTGGATACGATTGACCGATGATGTTGGAATCGAATTTCTCCTTGGGGCGTTTGCAGAAACGTCTCATGATGAAGAATATGTCTAGGTGTGAGGCCCTGAGAATTTCGGAGCTTGCGAAGGGCTTCAGGCCTAGAGTCTTGGATGAGTAAAGTTATAAATTGTGGAAACATTCTCTTTTTTGTCTATGCTCTCATTAAAGTAGTTGGACCGGTTCAATTTTTTGATGGTGTGTGCTATCCTTTCCTAAAACACGCAGCTCGAGTAAAAGTTGCTTCGCAGAGCGCACTCTCGACTCTCCATAGCATCTCTTACTGGGAATCATTACCTAATACTTACAAACTCCTACTTGCCAAATCGTAGCTCTAAGATCCTCCTGACTTCCGGGTACTTTTTCTCGATTGATACATGAAACAATTCAAATAAGTTAACTAGCCAGTCTGCATGTAAAGTAATTCTTACTCGATCCCCCTCTCATCTCTGTACCCCATTTCATTCTGATCTCCATTCGCTCTTGCATGCTATGTGGATATAGAATTTGCTTTCCGTGGCGAGGCTAGGAAAGAGAGATAATGCTGCGCTCGGGAGACAAAAAGGGGTCGTGAGCTGAGCGAGCCTTGATTCAAATGTCAGCTGTAGATTAACCGCGAGAGGAGAGGTTGAGAGATATACTATTCAGTATCGGAAAAGGCTTAGCTCTCAGCCTCTCGCTCATTGCACATGATGTAAGGACCAATTAAAATCTAGTTGCCGGCATTTGGTCCTATCGTTTTGTTGAAGAATTTCGGATCAGATCATCAACTTTAGGCAGACTCCCTGAAGAATAACGGTACCGTCACAGCTACACTAGAATGGCGCTCTGCCATCAGTCCCGTAGGTGGCTCGAGACTTGGCAAACCAGCTTCGTATTCTGAACAAGAGTATACGATTGGCTTGCTAGTTATCGAGTGGCACTTGTATTAAACATTTTACGGGGTATCTGTCTACGCCTTACATACAAGCAGTGATAAGTTGAAAGGGGTAAAGGTAATCATATATAAAGAATCTGTAACTCACCCTTTTTCTCAAAGCCTATCTATTCACATTGTCAAATCAGTCTTTTCCTTTCTTCTAACCCTCCACTTCCCTCGTAGCGTATATCGACCACCTCGAAACCTCTCACACATAAAACTTTCAGATCTTTCAATAGCTCTCCTCGCCGCCTTAGTGCCACAAGCACTTGTCGCTCCTTCTGTTGGGGTTGCCAAGGAAGAGGCCCATGTGGTGAGGGGAGCCTATAAATCTTGCGATGGTTGTTACCTTCTCTATCGCCAACGATTTTACGATGTTCATTGCGAGTACTCCTACAATGAGAGGGGAGTTGGAATTGGGAACAGGTCGTCAGTCGTTAGACGAGATAATCGTACGGAGATCGCGGCATAAAGCATCGGGAATATAGGGCATTGGGAGATTTTTAGACCCTCTTGTCACGGCCTGGACAAGCTGTGGAAGTGGAATGTGGGTGTGTTTTTGTAAATATGTAAGAATGATGGTGCCCTAAGGGCGGTGAACAAGCTATATATACGCGTGTGCACAGCACGTGACACCTCTAGTGTACAGATCAAGGTAGCAAACTCGCTGCAAAGCCCTATATTTCCAGGACCTTCCCCTGAGAATAGCTTATACGGCTTCAACAAGGGCTGCCATATCTTTTTAGGGCTTGTCCCCTATACTTACAAGGGAGTTATTACTAAGGCGGCCTATAATAGTTACTCGTTTAATATCCAAGTGCTATGGTTACTATATTAATACTACTATAAACCTAGAAGATCATACTTATCTCCTGCGAATATCTTATAGCGCCTCTTTACGTCAATTTAGGGAGCACTGCCTGGAGTTATAGGGGCTTATAGCGAAGTTTTGCCCTAAATTCGTTCCCTGTAGAACACCAAAGGCCAAAGGCCAAAATACCCTGTATTCCCGATACTTTATGCCGTTATCTCCGTATGAACAGCAACGACGGCCATTGATTCGTAAGTAACTTTTATTAATTAATTCATTAACTCATTAATAGTCCTCGATTTTGGGGAACTAGAAGAGCTGACGGGAAAACATAGGTTGGGTAATGCCCTGTAATATAATCATTTGGAGGTTGTCTTACTTATATTGTATTTAAAGTATTATAATAATCAAATTAGTACCTTAGTACCTTGAGAGCAGGATTGGGTCAGAGCCTGACCGTGGGGGCGAATTATCTGAAGCTGCGCGCTACGCCCAAATCAGCACCTTGCAGCTCCGCCACGCTGTGTCTCAGCGGCTTCTCATCCACCTCACTTTCAACTTCAATTCTTATCTTTCTTCATCTTTGAACGCATTTGAAGGTCTGGTTACCTGTCGAGCGTTTCTCTATATGGCAGCGTGAGCCACCCGAAACCTTTACGACAGCGTGGAGACGGCTACAGGACCCTATTCCGGTTTCGCCATGTCGGGCCGCAAGGCTGTAGAGATCAAGCGCTTTGGGCTCACTCAAGTCTATGCGCCTGAAGATGAAAGCAAGTCTATAGCTACGTACCCATTGCCCCTTCCTCCCTGGCTGATTTGGCATTGATCTCAGTCTGTGCAGCATTGTGTTCGTTCATGGACTGTTTGGTCATCCTCAGAGGACGTGGACTGGGCGCAAGGAGCCCGAACGGAGTATCCCATCTCTAGTGAATCCCAGTAGCAGTGCTTCTAGGCGACTAGAAGAATTAGCCGGGACCGGGAGGTCTTCGGTAGCAGCAGATTTAGAGACGGAGCCGGACGTCAGCAATGAGATCTCCTCAAGAGAAGCTTCAGCCCTAGGCGCTGGGATGCCCCGTCCAAGCCAGATGGGTTGCTCTCAAATTGTTGGACTGCACCCCGGGGAAGTGTTCTGGCCGGAAACAATACTTCCGGCTGTTCTTCCAGAAGCTCGAATTTTCACTTGGGGATATGATGCTGATGTTGACGCCTTCAATACGTCAGTGGGGCATAATACTGTTGAGCAGCATGCTAACGATCTCCTGACTGATATTGCAAATTTGTCGGAAAAGCTTGGAAGTGTAGGTGGAGGCTCTCGGAAGGGATCCATCAGAACTGACTTATATTTTTGTAGCTGGCGAGGCCTGTCGTCTTTGTCGTGCATAGTCTGGGAGGGATTGTAGTTAAGGAAGTGAGTGGCCGACTTCTCTATCCTCACGATCCTATCCAGTGTTGACGTTTTCAAGGCTTTGAATATAGCTTCTCACTCCGAGATTGAACGTCTCAAGAATCTGGCATCAGTAACTTATGGCATCTCCTTCCTCGGAACACCACATCGAGGGTCTGGGTCAGCAACTATAGGAAAACACGCATATCGAATAGCTCGGCTTGCCACCAAACGGCCAAATATGAAGCTTTTAAGGTCTTTGGAGAAAAACTCAGATACCTTGAAAGGTATAAGCAACAGATTTCGAAGTACGCAGCAGAAGTGGGATATCAAGATATCGTCCTTCTACGAAGACCGAGAAATCAGGAAGTTCTTTCTGTTCCACAGCCTCATTGTCGACAACGAATCCGCACAGATTGGTCACCCGGGAGAGGAGGTATCGTCGATACCGAAGAATCATCGTGAGATGACTAAGTTTACATCATCCGAAGAAGTTGGGTTTGATCGAGTCAGCTCTCAATTACGTCGGTGGGTGGATGATATCAGTGACAATTCTCAGGCTTGTAGGTGGTGATTATTTTCTTACCCCAATTCTCGGTTGAAAACGTCACTGCAGGAGAATATGCTGACAGTGGACTGATTAGCACACGAATCCGCAAAACTAGAAGGTACGCTTGGCGCCCGACACGGTAGTGATATCCCTGAACTGATGGTATTTTAGATTGCCTCTCGAGTCTTGAAAATTCCCAAACGAGTACACGATATATCAACGTTGCCTCGTCCTATGACGGCACCCTTCAATGGCTCTTCGATCGCAACATTGTTCCATTTGTTGATTGGCTTGAAGAGAATCAGAACATGCCTGGTCCTTCTCGCCCCGTCTTCTGGATCAATGGAAAGCCGGGATCAGGAAAATCAACATTGATGAAGTTCGCGATGAGAGACGAAAGAACCAGAGACATTCTCACAACAGCTTTGCGTTCATGCGAAAATCTCCCGGAAACTAGGCCTGAATGGATCATACTGGGATTCTTCTTCCACGACCGTGGTTCTCATATCCAGAAGTCAATCGAAGGAATGCTCCAAGGTGTTTTGCATCAACTTCTATCACAATTACCTAACCTTCTGCCATTTGTTTACACTATCTACGAAGATTTGGTGAAAGAGCAGAGAAAGCCAAATCCGATCTGGACCTTTGACTCGCTCTCCGCAGCCTGGGTGGCGTTCACGAAACAACGAAAAGTACCCCTCTCGGCGTGCATTTTTTTGGATGCTCTTGACGAACATGAAGGAGACAACCATCAACTTTCCAAGTTCATCTACGAGTTAATTTCAAGTGCAGATTGGTTGATGGTCAGAATCAAGATCTGCGTTGCGAGTAGAACCTGGAACGTTTTCGGGGAGCATTTCGGGACTTGTCCGCAGTTTGCTATACACGAATATACCTCTGGGGACATCCAGGCCTATACTTCGACAAGGCTATCAGCCCCAATATCACGCTTGGGTGAAGAGGCTCGGCTTGCTCTTTTGCCAAAAATTGAGCAACTTTCCTCACAGGTGACCACCAAAGCTCGTGGCGTATTCATATGGGTTCGAATCGTCGTGGATGAGCTTGTCAAAGGGATAAGAGACGGTACCGCAATATCGCTATTGGAAGAGAATGTCTCGAAGATGCCAGAGGAACTCGGAGACTTATACCGGCATACTTTGCAGCGAATTGATACCGACTACACACAAGAAGCATACATCATGCTGCAAATTACACTTTGCAGTCTCTCGCCGCTTCCAATCAAAGCTTTCATGAAGTGTGTCTCTTTCTCGAGACGGGGGAAGGTTCATGAGCAGGCTTGGCAAAAATACTTTTGGTATCGATAAGGTATTGATACTGGATGGTATTACTTAGGTATCGCAAGAATCGATACGTATCGATACCGAATCGATACTTAGCCTTAAATTATCTCTTCCATTTATTATTTAATTTATATAATAATATATTTATATATAATTTCTTTATTTTCTAGTCTTTCTATTAAAGGAATTACTTAATATTATTAATAAAAGCTAATATTATTTTAATTTAAAAAAGCTCTCGTATTCGGAAAATTTAGTATCGTATTCGTATCTCTTATCGGAACGCTTATTATAAGCGAGCCTCACGAAAATCTCAAAAGCTATTTTTTGCTTAAAATAGCCGCATTGAGACGAGTTTTAGTCTAAACTATAAGATAAGTAGCTAAATAGAAAGCCTAAATTAAGTAGAATATTTGCGCTACCAAAAGCTTTCTTATAAGGGAAGTGGTTCTAAAGTTAATTGCAATTAAAGGGGGGAATTGGGTTCCGGGAATCGATAGGAATCGATACGGAATCGATAGTATCGATACCTTACGATTCTGGCATCGATACCTATCGATACCAGAAATTAGGTATTACTGCCAAGCCTGTTCATGAGGCTTCTGAGGAAGAGATGACCCGCCAGTTGATGAGCAGAAGTGGTGGACTTTTAGAGCTAGTCGCTACTGAGTTAGCCAATGACTCTGATAGTAGCCACGAAGTGTTGGACATCGAGGACGAAACTTATTCCCCCGGAAGTACATTCGCTGTTCAATTCATCCACCAGACCGTGAAAGATTTTGTTGCCGAGAGCCGCAGCGATCTTGGTCTTCATCTAGATCCTACCTTCAAAGCTCAAAGTGGATACCTCTACCTTTTGGAAAGCGGTATCTTCTCTAGAAGGACGTGGACACAGGAACCTGGCAAGTCAATATTTGAATACGCGTTTCTTGCTGAGCTCGAAGGCTCGGCAGATGGAGCTCGATTGTACCAAGCGTTTCGCCCCATGATCAGCGACAGGATTTTTATATTAGACAGGGAGCCCGTAGAATGGACCATTCGAGAATGGGCTGCCCGGCAGCGTCTACTACCTGACGTCATTCTCAGCAGTGTTAGTGATATCAATTTGCTTTTGATATTGGCGGTTGGCGCGGATTTGAAAACCTTGACTAGTTACATATCCGAAGCCCATCGTCAAGACCTGGCCTATTTTTTTCTAAGTCAGGATCAAACGGTACACGCCACGATCTTGACAATGGCTGCAACTGGCCAGCGGCTCTCCACAACTTCCGCTAGCCGAGAGCCTCTGATCACGCTCGTGCTGAAATATGGAATTTATCACGATGACTCTTGTAACTCACCTGATCCGGAAGATGCACAGGCGCTGGTATCTCGTTTTGATCGTGACATACTCCGCACCCCGCTTGCCTGGGTATTGCGATGTGATCCTCAAAAACACATCTCAAAAGAAGAAAGATATTCAATTGCTAGGCTGCTTCTAGAGCATGGGGCAAATCCAGATGCTTTGGCCGTTCCGGACGCATGTTGTGGGGATCAAACGTCCCTATTGTACAGCTGCGTCCAACATTGTGATGTGGAGGCCGTCCGACTTCTCCTCTTGCACGAAGCAGATACCTCGATCATCGATCATCCGCTGATCTTTAGCCTCGAAATGAGGAGAGACAGAGAAAGCACAGGAGTGAAGACAATGCTCCGCTTGCTCGAGGAACACGACTGTCAAATCACATGGGACGTGGAAACCATGCATCCGGCTGGACTGCTAGCCATTGGGGGCGGATGCGCAGCAGGGATCGGAAGCCCATCAATTAGCAGCCGAGTTGGATATTATCACTTGTGGCTCAGACGCAGGCCTCAATCTTTATCGGAAGCGGACAGTTCTCCTTCGAGACCTAGGAGCGTAGATTTGACATTACTACCTAGCGCCTCCCGGCTATAAACCGGAGCTTCCTTAGCTTTCAATTTAATCAGCCTGCTAGCCATAAAGCTTGGTGCAAACCACTAGCCTCTTCTCCACTACTTAAAATATATTCTGCTTATATATCCGTTCAGCTGCGGCCAGAAACGCACTGGACCGTGCACGTTTTAAGCGAACTTGATCAGCAAATCATACTGTCCAAATTCTTGATTCTACCCATCTGATTCGCTACAATTTTGTGGTATATTTGATCACGGAAGTGCGTTCCTGGCCGCAGCTGAACGGATAATTTCTCAACTTTTCATGCAAATGCATTACAGCACACATAAGGATTATTATTATGAACTCTAAATACTATATATAACCATGCTAGAAATTATAGTTAATATAATACCCATATTATATATAACTTCCACGTAACTCGCTCTTATTAAAACGGAACTCAAGTTTTACAACGCGTGGTATTTCCATCGGTATATTTAAATGCTCCTTATCACAGCAGAGCAGAATTTATACCCGCTTATATGGTGGCTGAATTATAAACCTGCTTGGAAGCATTTTGAGCTAGTTATGCCCGCCTAGAATGAAATATTCTTCCTCTAGTATTTCTTAGAGCTTTAAAGACTTCCCGACGAGTACCCTTCAAGGCAATAGCATACAATCTACTGAACAGAACCTCTCGACGAATAGACCTCAAACTCTAAAATTCGAGTTATGATTTAGTTAAAAGATACTACTAAAACCCTTATAACAACTAGATCTCATATATCTCTATTAATCAACCACTATTCCATTCCCAAAACCCATTACCAAACCCAATAATATGCCACAAAAAAATCTATATCCTAAGTAGGTACCCCCTTTCCATTCCCCTCCTCACCCAAAACTTCTAGCTAATCCAACCAAACAATAGAGAATTCCTCAACACACCCCGGCGCTCTAGATATCTTCAACAAAAATAAACCTTGGCATTCTGCTTCTATTACAACTGCCCGTGGCTCTGGTTTGTATTTGCGAAGCTTGTTGGACCAATAGGGGAGAGTGAGCGGGTTGTGCAGCCTCCAAGAAGAGCGAGGCGATGGAGACCTAATCGCTATTGGTGAGAAGGTGTAGGAAGGGGAGAGAAGACGGAATGAGAAACGATACATTGGACGACAATCCGGAGGAGAGAATGGGGGGGATGGATTTGTTATACGCTATGGCGAAGAGGAGATTTCGGGCGGATGAGAAATGGAGTCGAGAATCATTTCTCCGTCACTCGAAATGAAGGTAGAATGAAGAGGTGGCAATGCCAGATTCAAAGCAAAAGGAAATGACAGGGCTGGTTTGTTGCCCGACGTGGGTATTGCATTAGAATCTCTAGAAAGAACGAAAAAGGCTCAGACTTCCAGGTTTAGCTGCCCACGCTATGCTTGCTACCTCTGAACGCCGTCATTAGTCCAGCATTGCTAGACATCATTCGTAAAGAAAAGGTATGCAATGAAAATCCAGGGTCTGCGCTCTCAGCCGCGAAAGAACCCTTCCTCCCTCCTTCCACCGGGGTGTCTTGTAGATATACTACCAAGATCATGCCCACATGCCATATATGTTCATGACAGCGCTCGCTAACACATTTTATACTCGCAACTCCCCTCCGCAGCCCTCGTCTGATCGTCCGTCACCAGCTGATAGCTGATCTTCACATCCAAATCCCGCTTATTCTTGCTATTCGGTTTGTTCTCCAGGACTCCTCTGATTTGCTCTCCTTGCTGTACCGTCAACACCTCCCGCAAGTAGAAGACCGTCTGCTTCCAGTGGGTGTACTTTGTATGGGGGCCGGTGGAGAACCGGATGGGTTTGTGGCAGGCGGTGAAGTCGATATCGAACCAAGCGATAAGGGCGTGTACGAAGTCGTCGCGGCGGCAGTCGAGCGTGAAGGGTGAGGCGAAAGAGAGATCAGCGGTCGTGCAGGTGTACAGATCGAGGGTTAGGACGGCGGTGGGGTCGGTGACAACGGCTTTGATTTCGACGGTGTCGACAAGTGGTTCGGTGAGAGCGGTGTGCTTGAGGGGTGAGTAGTCGAAGCCATAGACATTGTCCCAGACTGTATTCATCTGTCAGTATCTTGAAATGGATGGGAACCTGAGGGCAAGGAGCTCACAGCCAATCTTCTCATCCTTATACTCTCCATCCTCAATACCGGCCATGAAAATCGTCGCCTTGTCGGGGAAAATCAGCCCATTGGGCGCCAGGTACTTATCCCTCGCATACAGCACCGTATCCAACATAGACTCATACAGCAGGAAATACCCCATCCACTCCGAGATTATGATGTCGACTTTCGGGAACGGCAGCTCAACTTCCTCCATCTTTCCCTGCAGGAGGGTGATCTTGTCTGACATCCCGTTCACGGCGACGATCTCGCGGGCTTTCTCGATGATGGTTGACATGTCGACGCCGATTACATGCTTGGCTCCTGCGCGGACGGCGAACCTTTGAAATTATCAGCCTCGAAGGAGAGACTCGGAAAGGGAATGGGAACGGGAAGGGAACTCACATGGACAGAATGGAGGTTCCGCAGCCGACATCGAGGACAATCTTGTCTTTGAAGAGGTGCTTGTTCTGCACAATGGCGTTCATGTAGGAGCGTGTCCGAACTTCGTCTTTCTGCGTTTTGTCAGTGCGGCTCAGCAGAGTAGGGGAGCATGCGGCTGCTGGTACACACCAACATTTCTTCATGGATGCCTTGTAATTTCCAGTTAGCATGATTTCCAAAGTATCTGGCATGTTTTGCACGTACCATGGTGATTGTAGCTATTCAGAATGTTAGCCTCGCCCAGGTACCAGTGACAGGAGAGCTGACCTGTTGAAGTAATGAACTTCGGAATGCTCCATTCCCTTCATCTTGTCGTCCGCCATGATTGCAAGAGGGGTAAGGTGGAGAGGTAAGGAGTGACTGAAGAGTTGGAAATTGGAAAGGCCGAGCTGGAGGTGTTGATATTGATGTTGGGGATCGCGTGAGATTGGTCTTTGCCTGGGAATTTTTTTCGAGGGACTGGCCTTGGAGACCGGCAGAATTTCACCGCTTACCGAAATGGTGTAGCCGAAACTCCCCAACCTTCGCCGTGCAGCCGATTTCAGTCGCTTGATGCCTTTTTGTGGTACATGTTTTGGGGATAAAATTTGCCTGTAAATACTTAAGATTTAGACATAAACATAAAGCGTGAAGTGAATAGCACGGTTTTCACGAAGTCAAGGAGTTGGATTATTTTCAGCCAATCACAGTGCTAGGTTCTCAAAATTGAGGAGGTTGGACTTTTCCTGGCGAAACACAGCGCTCGATGTGCACAATTGAGATGCTGTTGTAAATAATAAATGAAGGTTTTGGAGTGCTGTCTCGTATCTTCTGCAGCTCCAAAAACGGGTATCGGTGCAGGATTGGATAAGGTATTGTTCGAGGAAAAGTCACGTGGCAGCGTATTTAGCAGTCAGAGTTCTCTGTGCAAAACTTGCGTTATATTTCCAAATGAAGACTTTTGCAAACTTAGGGCGAGGTCATTTTCGCATTAGCTCAAGTAAATGCAATTGTATGTTCCTATTGTCATTCGCCACAATGGTTACGGCGAGGCTGGCGAACTAAAATCAAACTGGCTCTTGGCACGCCGCCTCGCTTAGCACAATACTAAAAAGTTGTGTCGGAATTTTGGTTGACGTCGAAACCTACCAACCTCCACCCACCTCGTATCGCATTTTCTCACTTTTCCTGGCAACCACCAACACCACCCGCAACGACAACCTCGACATCCACCAACCAACATCCACGCATCACGTGTGTCCTGCATCAATAGGGGCAACACGACCATTTGCTTCGCGCAGAGACTTGTTACGAGCTGATTTAGGCATCGCGGGGTAGGTAGGGGGAGTCATCATGCCTCCAGGGCGTCCGCCGAAGGAGGGCGCTCATCGAAAGCCAAACCCCCTGAGAAATCGACCACCCATCAAGGCTCCACTTCCACCCATCTTTCAACAGAAACAAGATTCTGCAGCTGCTGCGGCTGCAAAGGCAGCCCCTCGACCGGCTCGCCGCGCTTGCCCAAACAAGACCTGTTCTGCACCTGATGTCGTCGATGGAGTCTGTCACAATTGCGGTACCATCGTCGACGACTCGAACATTGTTTCAGAAGTTCAATTCGGCGAGAGCTCCAATGGCGCTGCCGTGGTTCAAGGTAGTTTTGTTAGTGCCGATCAAGGCACGGCCAAGAGTTTGGGTCCTGCCTTTCGACGAGCTGGCGGCATGGAGGACAGAGAGTCTACGATTCGAGAAGGTAAGCGAGCTCCCCCCCTTTTCTTTACTCGGTACTGACTTCGTTAAGGCCGACGAATTATGCAAGCATTAGCCGGCCAGCTTGTGATCCCCGAGTCGACTATCATGAGCGGAGTACAAATATTCAAACTTGCTGCAAACAACAACTTCATCCAAGGCCGTCGCATGGACATGGTCGCTGCTGTCTGCCTCTATTCCGCTGCTCGCAAGGAGTCGCCTTGTAGAGTTATGCTCATTGATTTTGCCGACAGACTCCAGGTATGTCATCCACGTCCTGTCTCCTAAGCCCGGCTAATCCTTCCAGGTCAATGTGTTCAAGCTTGGTCGCACCTTCAAATCTCTCCACAAAACCATCACGCTTTCGGCTGATGGTATTTTGCCCGTCTTGCCAGAGGACTTGATCTACCGTTTCGCGGAAAAACTTGAATTCGGCGAATTCAGGGACAAAGTCGCTGAAGATGCCATCCGAATGGTTCAACGTATGAGTATGGACTGGATGGTTCAAGGCCGACGTCCCTCTGGTGTATGTGGTGCTTGTCTTATACTTGCTGCTCGCATGAACAATTTCCGCCGTACAATCACCGAAGTCGTCTACATCGTCAAAGTCACCACACACACGATCCAAAAGCGTCTCGATGAATTCAAGGTCACACCGAGTAGCGCTCTCACCGTCGAGGAGTTCTTGAACAACGAGTTTCTCGAGACCGCCCACGATCCGCCATCTTTCTATGAGAAGTCTGAAGAATGGCAAAAGAACAAGAAGAAGCGTAAGCGCAGAGGCCACGATGGCTTTGACGAAGAAGACGAGAATGGGGAGAACTCGGGAAGCAATGGCGAAGGCGAGGGCGGCCGAAGCAAGCGTCAAAAACCTACTGAGCCAAACCCCAACCCCGACCAGCCAGTTCAGTCTGTTGAGCTTCGGCGTGATGCAGACGGCTTCGCCATCCCACCTCAACCTACCCAATCCCACGACATTCCAATTGATCCCGACCTCGTTGACGAGGCCATTGCAGACCAAACATCTACCACATTCGACAAGCTTGTCGCTCAATTCGGTGATATTCCGGATGCCCCTTCTAATCCCGATGAGGATGGCGATGCTTCATCTACAACCAGCGCCCCGAAACTTCGTGAAACGCGCCTGGTTCGTGCAATCAATGTCCCGGACGAGTGGGCAGCCATGGAAGAACGCATGGAGACCGAGATATCTGAGGTGATCAACGATCCCAACACAATTTACCACGCCGCCTCCTACGCCAAAGCCCAGCGCCGTGCAGCCGCTCATATGCTCATAGCGGAGAAGGACAACCCGTCCAGGAATATTAGCATGGACGTTCATATCGGAGAGGACGAGTTCGCGGATGACCCTGAAGTCGTCAACTGCATACTCGCTGAAGAGGAAGTCCGGAAGAAGGAGAAAGTCTGGGTCAACACCAACAGAGACTGGCTCCGCAAGCAACAGATCAAGATGTGGCGACAGAAGCAAGCAGAGAATGGTCCTCCAAAAGCCAAGCGCAATCGCAAGCGCAAGCCCCGTATCGGCGAAGGCCAAACAACAGCTGCATCAAGCCCAGCCGAGGCCGCGATCAACGTCATGAAGGAGCGCGCATTCAGCAAGAAGATAAACTACAACGCCATCGCAGACATCTTCAAGGGAATCAGCAATCTCAAGAACGGAGACGAACTCGGCAGCGCTGGTACCAGCCGTGTTACATCCCAGGCAGGCAGTGACATCGGCGATTCAACAGAAGGATCGTCTCGTGCATCGTCGCTTGCTCCATCTGTGGCCGAAAGTGTCAACAGCCAGGCTTCTACTGGATCTAACTTCCTCCGCGTTCCCAAGGACCACTATGTACGTCGGAAGAAGGCCGCAGCTGCATCGACCACCGGTACTCCAAGAGCCACATCTGCCTCTCCTTTCGCGGCCAGAGTTCAATCGCCCGCCGCCACAGATGAGGGAGATGATGATGACTATGTCCGTCCAAGCCCCACTCCCCGCGCACGCGCACAGGAACCGGAAGATGAGACCGAGGACTGGAGAAGCCAGGTTCGCAACGCAAACCAAGTCGGGACGGGTCTTGACGAGGAAGAGGAGGTCTTGGATGATGAAGAGGATTACGATGATTACGGCGGGGTTGAGGCAGGTGGTATTCCGGATGATGTTTCTGATCGTGGTTTCGACTTGGACGACGACGAGGATATTGGCTTTGGGGACGACGACTAATTGCCTGCGGACCTTTTTTCCCCCATCTGTAATGATATGGTTGGTCCATTGCATTTACATGGCGCAAATGGCCCATTCATTTGGGAACGAGATACCCATGGCCTGCGATCGCTAGATCGGCTTTGCTGATCGCTTTCGATGATGCCTTTGCATAGACCGTAGCATAGGAACTTTTCGGAATAAAATTTCCTCGAGTATAAAACTTCTTCCCTCGAGTTGCGATGGATGCTCTGAACGTTGCACGGCCGGATATCAGGCTTGCTACTCTTCACGAAGACAAATTAGGTAGCTGGTATACTGTGCTCACTACCCGCAACTCACCCACACCTCTCTGTTGCTAAGTGCATCCAAGCCCAAAACACAAGTCTGTACTCTTGCTTCGCTTTCCTAATAACAGGTGGCTTCCGGACTCGATCCTCCATCCAGGGATCCCAGCAACGTTCTCAACCCCGGCCCCCGTTTCAACAGATACATCGAAAATGCCTCGCAAGAAATGCAAACCCACGTGTCACAATGCACGTGATGAATCCTCAATTTCTCGTTAGGTCCCCTTTCACCATTCCTTTACCCAAGTCTCTTGCAAAAACTTACTAATCATCTTCCAGAAAGTGCCTCAGCAACGAGGACTCCGAAGTAAATACGATTAGGTTCATATAGGAATTGATCGTGCTTTTGCTAAAGTTGCTGTATTTGTGTTGTGGCTTTGGCATTGCTATCATGAACTTCGAGGCTTTTCAGGATTGGGGGAGAGAGCGAGTGAGGGAGTTGCAGAAGGAGTGAGGAAAAGGAGACGAAGTGGAAAAGGTACTACTTTTGGCAAATCTACCCTTTTTTGGGCTTTGGTTTTATATCACGCCAGTACTGCGAGTCAGTACTCCTATTCGGTACAACGTCTTTCGGATGGCATCGTAGAATAAAGTTGAAGTTGATGATGCTGACACCGGCACTGCACGCCTTCGGATCTCAAATCAGCCTCCGCCGGCCCGGAGATTTTGTGCGGGGCTCGCTAAAAAGCCACAGGGAAGGGAAGTGGCCCCGCAGCGGCAATCAAGCTCCCTGCCCCTGTACTTCAAAAGATAACAAGCTTTAGTTATTAATCACTTCTCCACACTTCGACATGCTGAAACTTCCTCATCGAGAAAATGGTCGCATTTATCCCAGTGCCGCGCGGATTAGCCATCAATTTTCGAGCACGATGCCCGTACCTGCTGATAGATAGGATAGGCACGATGGGCCTGATTAGTTTGTGGATCGACACGAGTCAACAGACCATGTCATAATAAACGTAGGTGCAGCTCCCAGAGCTTCTTTTGTCCCTCTTCCTCTTTCTGTATTTCCCCTCCAGACCTTTCCCCAGCAATGTTTTTCTCTTCTCTCCTCCTGGGCTTGGGCCTTGCCTCCTCGGCATGGGCACACCCGGCTCCGTCCCACGACCAGGAGCTGGGAGCAGTTGCATCCGAGTCCTCTGTCTGCTCCGCCATTGGGATCTCCATCCTAAAAGAAGGCGGCAATGCTGCCGATGCCGTGAGTCCCCGTCTTCCTCCCAAAATCCCAAGGCGTATACTAACGCAATGAGCAGCTTATAGCGCAGCAATTCTGCGTCGGCGTGATTGGCATGTACCATTCCGGCCTCGGCGGCGGAGGCTTCATGCTCGTGCGCTCCAGCAACGGGAGCTACGAATTCATTGATTTCCGCGAGCGAGCGCCCGCAGCTGCTTTCGAGACCATGTATTCGCCGCTCCTGTCGAACGCGAATCTGTCTTTATACGGCGGCCTGGCAAGCGGTGTGCCTGGAGAACTGCGTGGATTGGAACATTTACACAAGAACTACGGGACGCTTCCCTGGAAGCATCTGATGCAGCCAGCGATCAAGCTGGCGAGAGACGGGTTCAATGTCACTGCTGATCTGGTCCGGTATATGGCGTCCGCGACGGCGGGGAGCTATGATTTCCTCACGTATGAGGAGACGTGGGCGCTGGATTTCGCGCCGAATGGGACGAGATTGGGCCTAGGAGATGTGATGACGAGGAAGCGATATGCGGATACGTTGGAGAGTATTGCGGAGGGTGGCGCGGATGCTTTTTATAGGGGTGCTATTGCTAATGCGACGATTACGGCGTTGAGGAAGTCGAATGGGACGATGACGATGGACGATCTGGCGAATTATACGGTGGAGGTAAGACAGACGAGTAATATTACGTATAGAGGGTTTAGGATACACAGTGGGAGTGCACCGTCGAGTGGAGCAGTGTAGGTATTGAGCAAGAGCCCCTTCCTATTTTTGACTGTCTCGGAATTAATACTGAGACAACTATATGAAATAATTGCTAACCCCCCCAGTGTCATGAGCATCATGAAAATCATCGAAGGCTACGACATGTCCACCCCCTCCCAGTTAAACCTCTCAACCCACTACCTAGACGAAAGCATGCGCTTCGCCTACGGGCAGCGAACGCTCCTCGGCGACCCGACCTTCTCTCCCAATCTCACCGCTTACCAGACGAAAATGTACTCCGAGCAGACGGCTTCAGAGGTTCGAAGCAAGATCGAGGAATTCCACACCCTGAATGCATCGGCGTATGATCCAGACGGATATGTAATCTTGACGGATAGTGGGACGAGCGCGGCTGTTGCGTCGGATAGGAGTGGGCTTACGATTGCGATTACGAGTACGGTTAATACGCTGTTTGGAAGCCAGTTGATGGTACCTGAGACGGGCGTTATTATGAATAATGAGATGAACGGTAAGAAATCCCATTTATTTTGTTGGCCTTAAGGTACCAGAGCATTTGGAACAATCAAACAAATCCTGACCCCAAGATTCACGCTCAAATCCGTTGACAAGATTTTCTGGGCTCCAAGCTAACGTGCAGGCTTGGCGATATTCCGGACCAATCGGTTTCTGCCGATTCGTTCCAGGGGTCTGGAACGGGCGGTAATGGAACGTTCCAATCGTTCCTAAGCGAGCTAATCCCTGTAGATTCTCGTTATTTTGTAAGGAACTTCCATTAATTATGCTATTGAGAGGCTAAAAACCATCGTACAACCTCAGAAAGGCCTTTATTAAGCCGTAGCACTACTGCCAGTAACTCTACTGCCACGAGGAGTCTTTCTTACTGCACCACGTTGTGTAATTCGTCCTTGCTTCGTACGGCCACCCCCACTACTTCCACCACGTCCACCACGTCCACTACGTCCTCCACGACCTCCTGTACCAATCTCTCCATTACTATCATCACTACTATCATTCCCTCCCCAGCGACAGCTTGCAGCATGATCTGGCCACTTGTAATTACCACAGCAACCACCCCATATACCCACGATCCGGATATACTCAGGGAAAATGGTATTATTAAGTCCCGTACGAGCACACGTAGTACAAGGAGTAGCCGTCATATTAACCCCTCCTCGTTAAATGAGAAGAGCATTAATATAGGACTATCGCTATGTAAGGACTTGACCAATTATAATGCGATTTGGATTAATAATCACATTCTGGCCAGGAAGAGCAAGGGCTTATTATTATTAATTATTATGGCACTATACTCTAGTTAGCTTTATTATATAGTAAAGGGTAAGGTATCGTACGAAGGAAGCAAGTTATTGGCCTGTAATACCCATTATCCATTGGCCTTGAGAAAGAGGCTGGTTTGCACCAAGATTAGGAGCACCACCAGCACCAAAAGCAACGAAAGGAACAAGCCTTTAAAGATATTAGCTATCGTATGATAGATAGGATCAAGGATTAAAAGCTTACTGCTAGTTTAGGTTCGCAGGGCCAGGACCAGGAGCAGGAGGCTATATAGGGGAACTACTGCCAGGAGCAGGAGGCTATGCAGGGGGGTTACCACCAGGGGCTGGATTATTTAACATATTACTATCGTACGATCAATATAATCGCGAGAAGTAGAGAGGAGCAAGAGGTTCTCGTACGAGCAATAGTAATATTAATAAAGGAAGGAGGAAGTTAAAGCGGGAAAGGTAGCCTTTAAATAAGAGTTATAGCTTGGAAATTTAGAAAATTTAGACAATATCCAGAAGGTTCTCTAATTATATAAGGGTCTTAAAGGGCACGTATCTCTTTTAAACTAGCTAGTCTCAAAGAAGGTTTACAAGATCCCAGTCCTTTTCCAATGCTTTAAGCACTCTCTAATCTCTATTATCTCTGCTTCCATTTGCCCTCTATCCCAGCTTACCGTACGGCATACCCCTAAAAAGACTCTCTCTGGCTCATTACTCATTAGAGGAATTGAGAGGATATTAATAGCCATAAGTGAGAGCCTTGGCCAGCATTCCCTTTACGTATCCTGGCTCCACTAAGCTAAGGCCCCTTACTTGCTAATATTATATAATTCCTGGAAGTTATAATTCTTATACTCGTCCTCACTTGCAGGTCATATAACTGAGCGAAGAGATCGAGTAATCCGATTAAAGAAGTCAAGTACTAATAGCTCTTGAGATAGCTCTTTACTATACGAGAAAGGGGTAATATTACTTAATAGTAGAGGAATAATTTGATCTCTATAGTGCTCCCAAAATTTCTTTGCACTTATAAGAGCTAGAATTATATATTTCTTTGGCTAATTAGCCTTAATATATCTCGTACGGAAGCCTGGATTAAGAATTAAGGCCATAGCATAAAAGAGAGAGAGATTGGTTCTAGTATAGTACTTGTCAAGTATAGCATATATAATATCAAGCCATACGAGGAACTCTTTACTCTTATCATCTTTTTTCTTCTTAAACTCAGCCTATATTATATTTAGCTAAGCTTATATGAGAAGAAAAAAGGAAAGCAAGAGACTTATAATTATTTCTTAAAGATACTTAATTAAAATATCCATTATAAAGAGCATATAATTAATAGAAGTAGTATCTCCTTCCGCAAAGAGAGTTACTCGTACGAAAGTAGCAAGAAAGTCCCTAGTTATACAAAGCTTTTTCCAGTCTTTATAAGATAGGAAATCCTCTGCAAGATCGTCCTCGTAATTCCGGTAATATTTATTCACATACTCTATTTTCTCAATAAGAATAAGAAGCATTTCATACTAGCTATTCTATCTCGTATAATTATCCATTAGAATCATCCTCTTTACAAGTCCTATCTATTTAGCTATACGAGCAGGTAATTTGCAAATATGAGCCATAATATTATATACTTTACTAAGTAGACCTAAGAGCCTAAACTTGACTCTCTTTCTCTCGTTATTACTAATCTCTTGAGTCTGTTCCTATTACTCGTATGACTCAAGTTCCTCCATTTTAACTAATCCAGAGAACAAGAAAGCTTATACCACGAGATTAATAATATAGCTAATATAGCGAATTTGCATTTGCTATACGTTCTACTTAATATTAAGCTCTTGTTTCCAGTATACTTGAATTGCCTTGTAAAGGGTCCTATTAGTTCTAGCATTATCGCCCACAATAGCTCCAAGCTTTCGTACGATACTATAGTCTTCCAGAACTGGAAGGAGAACTAAGAATTGCTCTTCTCCTAAGTAGCCACGGACTGGTTTGAGAGCGAGAAGGACCTTTTAATGCTTAAACTCGTATGAGGTAAAATGGGCACAAATAGCCAAAAGAAGAAAGCGATTTGGGGAAGTCCAAATATTTAAGGAAATATGAATATGTGAGATTGCTAATTAGAGAACTCGTCGTACGGTATCCTTATACCGAACCCAGGATTCTTTAACCTTAATAGAAGTAGTAGAGTGAGACGTGGGAATCATGCCTTTATAAGCTTTATTCAAGAGCTAGCAAAGTATATGGAACTCTAGCCATTCCACCATATTATACGAGAGGTTTCGTATAATAATAAGAGTAATCAAGGCTTCTATAAGAACTCTTTGATTGATTTGCTATTCAAGAACTTGTAAATCAAACTTCTCTATATCTCCAAGTTCTTGAGCTTGATAATAAAGCCCTTGGATTTGTTAAGTAACTTTCTCCTGGTTCTTGGAGTTAGTAGGCTCAAGGGTAACAAGTAGATAATGCCTTAGAATATACTTTCTGAGGTTCCCTGCAGTAGTAGTGCCGTACGGTGGTGGGAAAGAGTCTAATTAATAATATAAATAATAAAGTAAAGCTTCATTTTCATCAGGTAATACACGACGAGAATGCTTCCAAATCGGGGAAGTCCTCTTTAAATAGTCCGTAGAAGACGTTACTGTCTCGGATAGTACAAGAGAATAGTCTGGTTTAATTAAAGAAGATATTTTGAGGATATACTCAAGGTAAATTAATCGTACGGATAGATAAAAAGTAAGGAAGGGAGCATAGTGGGGGAACTAGCGGTGGATTCGCCTACCCCTGTCATTATCGCCCTACCCCTGCCATTTTGGAACGTTTGGAACGTTCCATTACCGATATTACCTAATACCAGTCGATACCGGCCGGAACGTTCCGTGGAACGTTCCAGGGTGGAATATCGCCAAGCCTGCTAACGTGAAAACAGACTTCAGCATCCCCAATACCACAAACGCATTCGGCTACATCCCCACGGAGGCAAACTTCATAAAACCCTTCAAAAGACCACTATCCTCTATCTCCCCCACCATCGTCGAGTTTCCCAACGGTACCGTCTACATCGCTCACGCCTCAGCGGGTGGCTCCCGCATCATCACGGAAGTAGCACAGCATCTTTGGCACGTCCTCGACCAAAACCTAACCTCAGCTCAATCTCTCGCCCAGCCGAGGATGCACGATCAGTTGAGTCCTAACACGGTGTATTTTGAATATGCAAGCGCCTTCCAACATATCGAAGGATATAACAACGAGACGACGGCGTTCATGAAGAGCATCGGGGCGAATATTGCGTTTGTTGCTCCCGGGAGCACGACGGCTCAGGCACTGAGACGGTTGGGGAATGGCACGTTCGAGGCGGCGGGCGAGCCGAGACAGCTGGACAGTGCGGGATATGCGGTATAGAATTGCCTTGCCGAATGGGGAAGAATATTATGGACATTGAATAGATGAGAGGAAGTCAAATATTAGGGGTGTTTGGAGACTCTCATGTGTTCTTCATGTCTGATTCTCGGAAGGATTCTCATCAAGATTCGGCAGTTCGATGAAAATCGTATGAGTGAATTTAGTGAATGAATTGATAAGACGAGTGTCACTGTCCAAGAATTTACCGCTTGGTATTTGTCATCCGAGTGGTGCAAGCCAGCATTGTTTTGCGGCCTTCACTTGGATACTTTCTTCAATTTCCAAACGGGCTTCCTTTGCTCCACTGCAATGAGTGACATAAAACCGAATATGACACATTTGCTTTCGCGTCTGCAAGATCACAAGGTTAGATTTCTTTGAGATCGTTAGCTCTCAGGTGCACCGGCGTGGTACTAAACCAGAGCATATCTGCTCGATGTCGACAGCACATATACTCTCCCATAACAACCACAAACCCTGCGTTGATCCGAGTCGCGAAGCCCTTCATTAACGGTGACGCGTACACCTCGATGCTCGCAGCCGCCTCTCTCTTCGATGATACTCGAAATTCGCTGTATGATTCTTCAAGAAACCTTGTCTCCCGGTAGAGGGTCGAGCAAGGTACACCAGGGTTCAGTAAAGAGGAGGATCGCCTTCATCCCACTGAAGACGAATAATAGGCAATTATCCTGGCTCGAAACGGCGAAAGTCTCTGCTGAGGAAAGGGAGCAAGTGCTTTCCACGATTCCGTGCCGTGGTCTCCAGGTGCAGACAGGTGTGCCAAGACATTTTGTTCGTGAATCCCCATATACTCAGGATTAATTTTCCGTTTCGCTACTTATATTCTAATTTGCGGACATGAGTAGCGGCTACTTTAACCTGAGGTAAGGGTGAGTATATCTAAGCCAGGGGTAATCATGTCTGAGCAGAGCTGAGTAGAGCCTGAGTATCTTGAAGCATGCCCCGAGTTAAGCCTAAGTATAATGTGGAGCTTATTCTGGCCTCCTGTATATCCCGGATACGGTTTCGTTACCGAATTTTGCCCGGGGATCTGTCTCTGCTCCCTGGCAGCGTTGTTGCGAAGCTGACTTTGAATCCTCTTGTCAATGAGCACATAGGGTTGGGCCTCCTGGTTGTGGGCTGACTGGCTTGATTACGCGAGAGTCAACCATTCGCGATCAATAGAAGGGGTTCACTGCCCAATACGAAGGCGGGCGGCATTAAAATTCGTCCAATTCGCTAAGCGAGGGCGGGCGCAATATTAATCCTCTCAATACAGAAATTCTCGTAATTCCGCATTATACTTAATTATCGAGAAAATTCTACAAAAGTTAGATCTGCTTCTTTTCTATCTCACAAAGCTATTTTAAAGAGTTTTGGACGTTGCGTCGAGATTTGGTGCGATTTTGGTGTTCCTCGCGTTTTAGCAGACGGAACGATTTTTAATGCCGCCGCCTTCGTAGCCCACACCCCCACCGCCCATCCCCTACTTACACCCCTGTCAGAACACCTAAAAAATGCGAATTTTTCAAAGTGTTCAAAAAAATCCCAAAACTTCACAGATTATAGATAATACTGCAAAAAGTCTAGATATGCCATTAGTTTAGCAAAATTGTGGTGGTGTTGGGGTTAAACCATAGATTTGAGCGGCTGAGGGTTGTTTTGGGCAGTGAAACCTTCTGCGAAGGCGGCCGGCTCTTCGTAGTCAGCGTGCATGCGGACGTGGAGCATACTGTATGATACAGGCAAATACCTGGTAAATGCTTATCCATCATCAATGATTCCACTCCCCCTCCACCTCTTCCTGCTGCTATAGCTACTTATTTCCAGACTCACCAGATTAGGAGCCCTTGTTCGATTCCCGAAAACTGCATAGATGCAGCAAATCAATACACTACCTCGAAGAAACATCCGAGCCTGATCCCTTCGAGCAACACTTGTCAGCGGCTCCGCCAGTTTTGTCGTTATTATAGTTAGCCATCACTTCTTCCCTAATGGAGCATCTGCCCTGGTATCCGCTATCCGAGGTAGGGCGAGTCCGAGTGCCATTTATATGCGGCGACGATCATATTTGCAACGGCGACCATTTTCTTGACTTCGCCCAGCAGCTGGGTTGGGAATCGGATCAATTTGAGTCATTTGCCCAGCTCGCCAGGCGAGCACAAGCTTGGCTGTTTTTTGGTCTGCTAGGAATAGTCGGCATTACCCCAGATCAGTGTATCAGCAAAACTTCTCCCAGAGGAGCGAGAGTGTTGGCGGGAACGGGAGAAGTGTCGACAACAACAGTGGCTGGACCGTCAGCGGGGCCAGACGAACAACCATTAGTCGACACCTCCGCTCTTCCGACTCTTCTGAGCAATCTCCGCGACCGAAATCATGACGAACTTCTTGCTCTAAAATTCCGACTGACGGAAGCTACAGCCAAAGCCAATCACATCCTAACCGGAGAATGGATACCTCTTATCCGACACTACGCAAAAACGCAAGATACTCTCACACTGTGGAATTCTAAGCCTTACGCCATTTTGTTTAGCATTGATGTGCTATTGGATACTCTCCAAGACACTGTAGCCGACATCTCTCCCCTAGAGTTGCGACCCGAATTGAGAAAAGTCCGGCGAAAATCTCTTTTGCCTGATCTCACATCAGTTGTTGCGAATAGCCTGCGTTACGTGGGAAAGTGTGGCAGTCTAGCTCATCGGCTTGATCTGAAGTCTTCCGAATTCTACCATCTTCTTTCGTTACCGAATGGTCTGAATGTAAATCATTCGCGGTGTGCGAAGGCCCATTGCAGCTGCTTCGACATAAATGAGCAAACTTACCGCACGAAACATGTGGATGACTGTATCATGTGCGAAAATCATACAGTTCTGGAAGCAGACCTTGTGCGTATCATCCGGCAGGATGAAGTTCCTCTTATTCGCAGCACCACGGACAAATATGGGAATGTTACGATCGCGATCGTAAAGATGACAATCGATACCGACTACATCGCCATCTCACATGTTTGGGCTTGCGGACTCGGCAATTTCCAGAACAACGGTCTTCCGCAATGTCAACTGCAAGTAATCGATTCGTATGTCACTCATATGTACACACATGATAACGAATATCATTACGACCCAGTAAAGCTCACATGGAACCATCTTTACACGAGCATATATGGAACTAAAACGTGTTATTACTGGCTAGATACGCTTTGTATTCCCCTGCACTATCCTGGTGAAAGGATTCGAGCTATCAATTCCATGGGGAGGATCTACGCCGGCGCAGCCAAAGTACTCGTCTTGGATCCTGCTCTGCACAGGATTAGCCTTTCAAGCCTACAGAGAAGGGAGATGGAGATAGATAAGGCCCACCACAAGGAACTAAGCGTCACTAGGGCCAATATGCTCGTTGACGCGTCGCCATGGATGGCGCGTAGCTGGCCGCTCCAAGAAGCCGCACTAGCTCCCAGAATATACGTCCAATTCGCCGACAAAATGTTCAATTACAGTCACAAGCGTCTAGGAATCGCAACCAATTTGTCGAGCATACCTGACCAAGACTTGAACGAGAGTCGCCTTGTCTGGGCAGACCCTTTTGATGATAGTAATGAATTCCTTACCGGAGAGGCTCTACCGTACTCACCGAATACTGAATTTATCAAAGTCTGGAATCAACTCACCAAGAGAACTACTTCGTACTCGGAGGATGTTCCGGCGATTTTTGCAGCGCTCCTATATAAGAGCGCAGGAGAGCTCCTATCGGTTGCGCCCTGTTATCGTACGCAAGCAATTCTGCGCTCTCTCGACTTCTTACCCTTAGACATCCTCACCTCCGAGCGCGAGAGTCTAGGACGAGAGGATAGCGCAAATGGTTCTAACACGGACTGGGTTCCGAGACTACCAGGCTCTCGGATTCCGGTACCTACGCTGGACCCCGCATATGGCATCTTACAACGCGTCGCTAACGGCTTCCTCATTCAACGGCAAGAGATCCAGGAAATTTCCCACTCGACCCGTGCCCTAGTCTGTCCCTCTGGTCTTCCATCATCTGGTCGCTTCGCCCTCGCAGACCCTAATTTCAAAGAGACTTTTCGTGTGCAAATTAATGCCTTTACACCTAACTCGAAAGACAAAAGCAGAGGCTACGAGACTCTAGAGGGGCCTCATCTATTATTGCTTATTTCCAAACCATCAATCGAAGATTGTCTCTGGAATAGCGGGGTCTTGTTTGCAATCTGCGAGCATACTGAGGATGTTCTTCGTGTACAACTTGTCAAGTCTACAGTCACCTGGTGCCTCCAGCATAATAACGAGCATAGCTCGGAACCGTACATAGTGAAGGATAGGATTAAGGCAGCAAACCCGTTCTCAATACTAATCGAAATGAGTAAGTCCCCTCCCCCCCTCCACTTGGGTTTGAGGGGTTCTAAGACTAATGGTTATATTTTAGACACCTATCACTGGCCAATTCTCTCAACCTCTCCATTTGTAGTGTATCCCTTCCAATACTGGCAGGCGCAGGTTGGGGAATTTGGTAGCTTGAGCTTCTTAGAACCGGTAGTCTTGGTAACTCTGTCTCTGGTGCTAGTTTCGATAGGAGCCATCCTCTTAGTTCTGATCACAATTGGTGACCGACCAGTCGCTGCGTACTTTATTGCTCTGGGTGTCGCAATTATCGTATGTATTCATGCTACAATTGCTTGGGCGCGTACAATAAACCTCCGCGCGGCAATCCGTCGACGGTCTCGCTATTTCTGGGCTCTTAGCTTCTGGGACGATGGCCAAGCGCGCAAGATCTTATCTAGTGTACCCAACCCGATTCCGTCAGGCGCCGTGTTTGTTGACCTAGCCCTTATGGCCAGCCTCATTACACCATTGTCTGTGCTGTCTGGGCGAGTAATTGACTTAAGCAACGCCAACGCTAGCCTCTTGATAGTCGGAGTATGTCTTATCATGTTTGCCACAGTATCGCCATACCTCTTCCGTTTCCCACTCCTCATTTATATGCGCCTGCAGTGGTATTTCAGTACTTTCGAGTACCGTACTAATGGCCAAACATCGCCGCGAGTGAACGTAGCACTCAGATTCATATCAACATGGCTGCAGGCTAATTTCCTCACTCAATTGATCTCCTTGATGGCTATCCTAGTCTCCGTTACCATGTGCACCATGTTTTTCTTCTTATTGAAAGCCACCCTTCTCGAGGATGAGAAAGGAGGAGAGTCTTTATGGCGGCTACTACCACCACGGATCATGGTGGCCGTCATACTAGTTGTCATTCTAGGTGTTTCTATAAGACTTCTAGCCTCTGGAACCGGCATGCTTGTTCGGGACACTAGACGGCGTATACAGTGGATGTATGAGCATAATAGCGCGGTTAGTCAAGAGAATCATGAGACCTCTGATCGTAATATTCAGCTAGTGTAATATACAATTCAGTCTGCTCCGCTACATAATCAGATTCTCCAAGACTGCACATTGTGTTCTCAAACCCCCTCTCAAATATGCTTGCCTACCTTATTCTCAGAAACTCCGATTCCCTGTGATATTGAGCCGAATTCATGCAATGATAGCCAGTCAGTGTAGCCTCAAGTCTCCTCGCCAAGCTTGCCTCACATTTCGACAAGATTGTGTCACGAGCACAAGAATCAAGGCCCAATGGACATGAAATATCTGTCGCTATTCGACGATACTAAACTAGGGAGTGAAGGGGTTCTTAGGACAACTCTGATTATATACAAATATTTCTATATCATCACTTGTCTCGCTTCGCTTGTGATAATTTGATAAGATAAGTCTTGCTCAGGATAATCAGGCCTGCTTAGGTTAACCGCTCAGGGTACTTGGATCAGTTGCTCAGGCGAGTCGACTGAGCGGAGGGTGAGCCGAGGGTGATTAGCGCCTGAGAAAGAGCGGCAAGCTTACTAACTGAATGCGATGTGCAAGAAAGGGAAAATTAATCCATAATACCCTTGTATTCGGACCTTGAAGGATCTTATCGTTTTTGGTTCCAGAAGGGCGGCGGATGGACGTTGCGTATGGTTCTATCTGTTCCCTAACCGGAATGTTTGCTCTCTCTAACTCTATGTCTCATGTGAGCAGTGCCTCCTTTGCTCAGGCTCGGCTCAGGCCAGGCTCAGGCCTGCTCACCCTGTTAATACATCTTATCAGAAATCGGCAACTTTTAACGATGGACCTGAAAAGAGCCTCTTCACTTGGCCAGGGGTACAAATTTGGTCACTATTATCATCCCCAGATATATCCCATTTGCCTGCCTTCACCTGTGATGTGTTGGGCTCTATAATATATCTTAAAAATGAGGAGGAGAGTAAGCCGGCTGGCTGAATAGACGAATGAAGCGACCACGTGATAATAAGCCACATGTTGTGTGAGGGACATACGTAACAGGAACGATAAGAAAAATGCAAGGCATTGCATAGAAGGCTGGGCTTTATTTGTATAATAATAAAACAAGGAGAAAGAGGGGTGTTGCCGGGACCGTGGGGGATAAATACAGTGCGGTGCAGCACGTGATTTAATGTCACGTGAATTAACTCTCGTGTAGTACAAAGGCTCGCCAAGTACCTGATTGCGATTTTCTTAAGTTTGCCTTAGGCGGCAGCTACGGGCTCCTTTAAGGACGCTACGGCATCTATTATTTTTTTCGCAAAATCAAAATTGCGATATTTTAAAAATGTGAGATTATTAATAATCTAAGTAATTCCTATAGTAGAATATAATTAAAATAGTCGATCTATATGGTGTTTTATCGCATTCTATAGTGGGAATATAATAGGGTGGGAAAATTAATAAAATATACGTGATATGCCCCCTTGTGATTACTAGGCCACTGGTATACTCCTTTTATATTTCTGTTCCTTTATTATTATCTTTAATTCCTTAATCTTTTATTATTAATCTCTTTATAATGCCTCGTTTAAGGATTAATATCGACTACTATTAAGCCCATATCCTTTGTTTAATTAGGTAATAATTATCACATAACGAGATTATAGAGAGGTTAAAGCACGACTTTAACGTTAATATTTTCCCTAGAACTTTACGTAATAGGCTTTCCGATTAGAAAGCGCCTTCCTAGTATTCAATATTTGAGCCTTCTTCTCAGGTAAAGGCTCTTATTGCCTGGTTCTTTTATAATATCCATATAACTAATACTAATATACTTGCCAACCTCCGGAGCTTAGGATATAATATTCCTAATTTACAACTATTACAATATGCTCGCCGAGCTATGGGCCTTTGACGTCAAATACTTAATTCGCATATTGAGCTAGAAAAGGAGTAATTACGCCATATTCTCAAGCAATATACAATTAATAAAGGCCCACAAGGCAATACTAGAAGTTATGGCTACCGGCTTCTATATACTTATCTTAACTCCCTAGGGAATAGCCAGAAGTTTTCTAGGAATAGAATAGCTTCTATAATACAGGAACTTAATCCAGAAAGCATATAATATTACTAGGAAGAGATAAAGGCAGCTAGGGGGGAATATAATATTTATGGGCCAAACTTTATTTGGTCCATTAATAGCTATTATAAGGTAAATATAGTATATACTTAACTTCAAAAATCATTATTTCAATAACTACTAATCCGTTTGCTTAGCTACGATTTTGTGGGATTAAGATATATGCCAGTATTAATGCCTACTTACGGTTTGTACCTTGGATTTATATTAGAATCTCAAATAGCTATACTATAAGTAGTAGTATTTCCTAATTCAGTACGGATACATTCCCTCAAAAATGCCAATATTCACTTAGTTATAATCCCGGCTATGTAATTCTATAGTATTACAGAGAACTAGTTATTTAAATTACACTTAATTTAGGTAATAAAACCCCTAAATCTCCATACCACATTCTCCTTTGGCCTAATTAATATCATACTAATATATACTTACTTATGCCACCTTCTAGGTTACTATCCTAGTTTAATACCTTGACTTAGTAGACGAAATAGAAGTTATTCTACTCTATATTTAATCGGATAGAGGATATAAAACGCCTATAATTACAGATACCTATTATATCCTCTATAAAGCAACGTGCTAGATAAGGGATATTAATTCATATTAGTTCTCAGATCTCTATTAGTTCGGGACTAGTACGGCTAATTAACGTATTAAGGCATAGTAGGGACAAATTACAAAGGTAATTTATCTATACTAATCCTATATAGACTTATTTAATTAGCTAATATTATATAGGACATACTAAATAAATAGAAGATATTTTTTAAGTAACTATATTCTTAAAGGCTTTACTCTTGCAAGCTTCTCCCTAATTATATAGCTATGCTTTTCGTCTATTTGCCTATTATATAAGAGCAAACTAAAGAGTTTATTCGGATATAGAATATTTATTTAATTAGGAAATAGCCTAATTATCTATATATTATTCCTGGTTAACTTTTCTAGAACTATATATTTTTAGAGTAGATAGGAGTCAGGGACTATGAAATTCCTATTAATATTAATAAATTAAACGAGCTATATAAAGGATATACTAGCTATAATAAAGACATATATTTACCAGAGGTTATACTTAAGTAGTATGAGCAAGAGCTTAAGAATACCGGCTTTATTCTCCCAATTATAGAGTCTATATATAACTCGAATAGAGATCTGAACCACCTAAGTACCTATATATATTTAAGGGAATTAATTACCGAGTACCTGATTAATACGAAGAATACTCGTCCAAAGCTAGGGCTTTTATTAATACCCAAGGGTATATATAATTAGAATCCATTACCAGAGGTAGCTATGAGACTAGAAAAGGCAAGGCTAAAGAATTATAATAATTAAGATAGTATTTAGTTTATTAATAAAGGGAGAGATACTAGCTATAAAGATAAAGATCTCATCTATATTAGCTCTAATAACAAAGCAGAGATTAGAAATAATATAGAGAATACTAGATTTACTATAAATAGTATTACTTTTAATAGGGCAAATAGTAATTAGGTTATAAATAGTCAAGAGTATAGGTAGTTTATGAATAATAGATATATATCTGAGCCTAAAGTAAAGGAGGAGGATAATCTAGAAATTCCTCCTATAAATATTAGACGGTTTACCCGGTAATAGAGAAGCTAAACGGGAATATATTAATATATATCTCAAAGAAAGAACTAGCTAAAAACATTAATATTTACTAAAGTAATTAAATATAGAAGTTAATAGTAATCTGCTTAATAAGTCAAATTTATATAGTTACAAGTAGTTTAATATTAAAAGGTTATATAATTTACCTCCTCAAAAAATTAATCCTTGCTTCTTTATTTTTCATATCCCCTATAATTATATTATTAATTTATTATTTTAGTAGTAAGAACTCTATAGTATGAATCAAATTCTCCGTTAATATTAGCTTTATTGAATTAATAGTTCTTGAGAACTTTTAAAGTAATTACAAGATATATTTAGTGAAAATATCTCTTTATATATAGAATTTAATTTTTCCCCTTTAATTCCTATAATCTCTTACTTAATATTCTATAGCCCCTAGTATAGGAAACCATATTTTAAATAATAATAATACTAGGGATAAATAAAATAAATCCAATTTTAATTTATACTAAGGGATATCTCTTATAGTTCTTGTATTTATTCCTTTTTATATATTAGTAATATGCCACTATTAATAATCTTCGAAATAGGTCCCTAGTATATAAATTATTAAGGGAAAAAGTTATAGGGGTATAGGCTAAAGAATTAAAATAATATTAATATATTATAGTTCTATTCTACTAATTATCTTTATACTACTATTTACTAAACTACTAGATTTATTAGCTATACTCTTCTTCTAATATTCAATTATAAATCAAATCCTTATTCTTTTATTTCCAAACGTTTATAATAGATAATATTAATCTATAGAACTCTTGTTTTATACGGGAAGCACTATATTCCCTCTCTATAGTAAAGTATTTACTATATAGTGTAATTAACCCTGCTACTCCTCCTCTGGCTCCTATTACTCCTATACCAATTATTATATTAGACAATATACTATTTTCTAGTCAAACCTAACTTCAAAATACTATTGCCTAATTATTAAGAGATTAAGGAATTAATATCTTAGCTAATTCCTATCCTTTTTACTACTCTCCGGATATAGATCTCTCAGAGAAGATCCTTAAGGCAGAAGCATATAAGAGAAGGCAGCAGGCTAAGCTCGAACGTTTAGAGCAATTACGTAGTAATTTCTATTAGGAAGCTCAGGGCAAAAGTATATATCCGTCTATTTAACTCCTAATATTAATATATTATTTACTAATTTTATTAGATTCGGCCCAGAAAAGAAGTAAAGCCTTTGGATCTTTTATTCTCGGCTAGGGGGTATATATAAAGGCCTTTAGTAAGGGTAAATCAATAATTCCTCCTACTTCTATTATTAAAAAACGATATAAGGTTCTTATTTCTATTATACTATATATATATAAAATAGAAGAGATCGAGAGTAGCTTTACTAGAAGAAGTATACCTGCTTTAACTATAAAGAAGTTCCTTAGTTTGGAAGAGTACCGGGAGGCTCAAATTATTCAAATTAAGCTATAGAGCATAGAACAATTTAATATATACGTAAAGCTTACTTATAAAAACACCACTTTATTAATATTGTTTTTTATTATAGTCAAAAACTGGCATATAAGGAATTCGCTATATATTTAGCCAAGGCTTTTTTATTATTAATTCCGTTACTTGAAGACTAGGAGCTTAATTAATAAATTATAATCTTAGAATATATAAATAAAGTCTTTTTTATAAGTAAAGTAAGCTAGTATTTATTAGTATCCTAATAAAATTAGTACTAATATAATTAGATTTGGCCAAAGGATAAAAACAAGAGAATTAATTATATAACTAATCTTATATATAAAGCTAAAAAAGATATTAATGGCTTATTATCTCATTTTAGCTAATTAAATAAGAATATACTAAAGCATATTTATCTTATATTTAATTAAGATATTAATAAAATTCAAGAAAGAGATAATGAGATTTAGGATAAGTGTAAAAGGAGAAATAGGGAGATGCCTTTACTAAATTATACTCCTTCTTTAGGGAGATCTCCTAATATTACCCCTAATATAATATCTATATTTACGGCTATATCTATAGTATCTTCTTTACTTGCTTCGACTCCTAATTAACAAATCAAAGCTATATGGGAGAAGGTTTCTCCTGTAGAGAATGGGAATAGGTCAGGTAACGACCTTAATTCGGACGATATGCCTATGCTAGAAGCTAGAATTACGGTTTCTCCTGCTCCTAATCCTACTCCTGATCCTGCTTCTATACCTAGTAAGTTAATAAATTTAAATATACTAGTAGATCTGACGTTTTTACTAGCATTTGCTCCCGCTCCCGCTCTACCCACTCAATATCCTCTGAAGTCTATATTAAAGAGGAAGCGGGAGGTGATTATATTAAGTAATAACGATAATAATTCAGATCTTGATAATAGAGAGAAGGAATTACCAGGGAATAGTGATTATAGGCCGGGGAATAGGCTATTAAAACGTAGGGGAAATCGGGGGTAGTTCAAATTAGCGAGAACAAAGTAATATTATTAGGGCATTTAACTATAATATATGGGATTTATTTATTTGGCCATAATTAGGTATGTTTTCCATATAAATGCGGCCAAAAAAAAAATCGCGATTCATTAATTTTGATTTTCCAAAAAAAATAATAGATGCCGTAGCGTCGCTAAATCAACCCGTAGCAGCGGGAATCCTTCACTTGACTCGTGCCTCGTACAAGACGCATAACCTTGGATCTTACACCCGCGATTGACAGTCACCCTCAAGCTACGGAACTTGTTTTTTTTTTTCGCCAGAAAAAGTAGCACCGAAATTTACACCCATCTCGCCATCTGCGTTCCTAACCACGAAATATTAAGACGATGTCTATTCAAGCCCAGTGGAGTCTTGACCAAACCATGGGTTCAGCCTTGTCCGTTGCACGAGGTATTTTCCAGGCAGCAACGAACGACAATGTCCAACCTCTGGCAATTCTGGCTTGCGAAAATTTTGGAAATACGATTGCAATGTGTGAAGGAACATGCTGGAAGATCGAAAGTCTTGTGACTAAAATCAACGAGCCAGCCGCAATTCATTTCCTTCGGGCGTCTGTTGGATTTACGACACGAGATTGTGCAACACAGCTGAACAAAAGCCAGGCCGGAGTGCGGTTCCTTGGTTTAGCAGCTGCACTTGTGACGTCTCTGGGACCTTTCGAAGGTGGCAATACTCTTGAGCAGCTGTTGAACAGTTCTGCTTCCGACAAAACGCTTCTACCAACAGCAAGGCAGCTTATGCTCCTGTTAGAAACTTTGGAACCACGACTTGAATATTCTGGCTTCGCGGACTCACTCGCTGGATGGGTTATATTCCTGTGTCATTCGTCGCGCATCACCCAAGAATATCGAGATTCCTGGGAAGTCTTCCCATCCTTCCCCAACCCAGAAGGGTTAGACAGCCTGGTAAACGCTTTTCGACAAATTGCCCGCATTGGCGATTCGGACGTAATAAGAGTTAGCATCAAGGCAACTACTTGCGTACCATGGGTGGTAGCATTCACGAAGTGGTGTCTTGGCGCTCCGCCCTCGATATTCTTGGATGATGGTACGGTTATACTCCAGCAGCCGGGTACTAAAGTGGAGGTGCTCGCAAGCCTTGATTCTGAGAACTGCCCTGGAATAAAGGTCTCAATATATCGAGCGTTGGGCGCACCCTCTGATCTTGTGGGAGGCCTGTCCGGTGGTGGATCTTGGACAGGAATGGTCAGCATCGAGACGTACGGTCAATGGATGCTTCATAAGTTCGAATTCACTGAGGGGTCTGCGAATCAGGCTCTCATACAGGCCCTTCCATACGCAATCAAAAAGATTGTCGAATCTTTGAGATTGTCTAAATATCGGGAGTTTGATTTTTCAATTCCCCTCCGTGACTGGCGATATCAGTCACTTCAGGACGGCCCCGTGATTGATGAAGAATCCATGGAATTGAGACTCAGTCCTTTTGGAAACGAGGCCGCAATAGTCAATATAGCACGACGGATTTTGGGTATCTCTGGATCTTTTCAATTGCATTCCCTTGACGATTTCTATATTGAAAATCTCCCAGTCGTGAAACTGCATCTCAAGAAAATCAAAGAGCAATGCTTGTGCTCTGTTTGCAACCCAGGCGCTGGGAAAAACTTCAGAACTTGCGAGAAGGTCAAGTTCTTTCACCATCTGGCATTCGTCTGTGCTGATATCCTGGCCTTCTCGCTATTCCAAGGTCCGGACTCTCCTCTTGTTCAACTGCAGCATTATCGAGATGGAAGTTATCCATTCAAGAAGGCAATATATTCTATTCTGACCAATGAAAATCTCGGGAATGTCAAGGTCTCTGATATACTGCAGTACACTTTAGACTTGGTTGGCCACAAAGTTACTGACGATGTTAAGGGGTCGAAATGGGTTATGTCTTCCTTTAAGGGGCAAGTCATTTACCCACACCTCTACGAGTCTTCACACTATGATAAACAAGGCTACCTTACTCTAGCCTGGTCATCCGGTCTCCTTCGATATCGCGGGGAGGTGTATACCCGCGTTATAGGGGATATAATCAGCTCAGCTTCGGGTCGGGACCCTGTTACAGGTGTCTGTGGTGAAGTCACAGGGCCATGTAACCTCGTTCCAGACATCAAAGTGGTCTGGCATATCCAACAAGCCGACAATCTCTTGAAGGTGTCACTGGGTCTCGAAAGTCCACAGCGAGACTTATCTTCTATCCGATACTCAGTAAACTGGATTTTGGAGAACCTAGCTTCTGCGATTATGCTAGAAGCCTGTTCACATAGCCCAAATGCTGCTTTGGAGGAACCCGATAAATTTTGTGCATATACTGGGCCTATGGCAATCAAGCCCTATTCCGACCAGAAAAATGGAATTCAGGTTGTCGGAATTGTTGCCGTTGAAGGCTCGAACGAACTTCGCTTATTTTCGTTGTCTGGCGCCAGTGTAATAATGCCGATGGTACTTCGCAAGGATGCTTGTTTATCTTGTTGCCTCGATGCTTGTAGAAGAACTAAATACCCTGTAATTATTCTTTAGCTTTACTATTGCTCGAATAAAATTTCATATTATTTATTATTATTTGTAGTGAATCTGTATAGTACAAGCTGAACCTTATCTAGGGACAAATCTAAATCTCGTGGTCGCATTACTAGGCTAATTTAAGCTAGGTAGAAAGTGCGATATAAAGGATAATGATCTAAACTATTATAAACCTCGGAGGTCTCGCATGCTCCCCAATGGCCAAGATGCTATTTTATTTCACGCAAATCCTCACCTGCCTATGAGTGCGTGCCAAGCCACTCCACATATGACCGCTCGCTGCTTTGCTTAATTTCGCTTCACCTTATTAGCACCCGTGGAGGGCCTCAATTGAAGACGAGTTCATAAAAATGCCTTGAGGCTTAAAGGCATTTTTAATTGAGGCCTGCCGGGTTGCTCAGGTACACTGACTGAGCTTCGGAAGAGGCCCTTGTTATTTTATTCTCTTCAAATTTTGGTAAGTAAAGTCGGAGCCGAGGAGCCGAGGAGCCAATAAGCTCGCCTGTCTCTAGACTCACTTGCTCAGCCTAGCTCAAGTTTGCTTACCAATAACTCATGCTACAAGAGTCACTCAGGTCCAAAGGCGGAAATGGAAATTACTCACCTATCCTAGATGAAAGCTTTCCGAAGATAAACCCGAGATTTCTTCGTCCCCAATCAAAGCTCCTAAGCAGCGGGCTCTGCGCCATGAAAATTTCTTGTACAACGTAACTGGATGGAGGCATTGAGTCCATCCGGTGTCCGCGATAGCGCACAAAACTGCACTAGGCCGATCTGATGCAAGGGCAGCGTTACGGTGTGGAAGAAATCACCATCTTTGCGACTGTGCAAAGCAGCTAGTACCACCTCCGGGGCCGCCGTAGGAATTTCTAACCCGCTCTGGGGTGGAATTCAGAGGGAGGGAGATTTGCAGACCAATATTAGTCATGGTATAAGGGGTTTCCTAGTATCGAGTGCCAGACCCGGTGGAGTTAGCTGGGCTCTGTGCGAGTATGCCATCCTCAGAAATCTATCGATTGGACTAATTAGGTAAATAACTGTTTTTCTGTAGGAAAGAACGTACGTAGTCGTGTCCTTCTATTCTCCAGGCGACCAGGGTATGGTCATCCGACTACTTCATAATCTCCTAGAGTTTCCTAAAAGCCTTTTGCTGCCCTTCGTCTTGTAGAAGGGGCATGCGAACGTCGAAAATTCCTAAGAGAGAATATGCAATATCCTCCAGTCTGATGGCTTCCCTTCGCTCTGCCCAGGACATCCTCCTAGCGACACTTTGTCCTTTGCATACTTGGGTGTCGGAGGGTGACGGCAAGGTATTCTTCATCAATGCCAGTTGCATCTGAAATAGCCTTTCCCAGACCAAGACCATCCCTACGTCCGATAAATTTCCAATCACCAGAGTAGAAGCTCGCGACTCTAGGCGCCAAAAGTTCTTGTGAAGTCCAAGTTCGCTTTAACCATCAACAGCTGCCAATCTAGACAAATCCCTCTCGTCACGGCGTACTCTGTATTCTAGGGAGCTATGTTTTACGCTAGTAGCCTGCGCGTGGAGTTTCCAGCATCTAAATGTGCCGGGTCTAAAGAATTGTGCTTGCTCATGCCGTTGTGGAGCGCGCATCTGCTGTGCGGTTATTGGAGTAGTTGCGTGTCGAAATTGGTTGAGGGGGAGAAATCATTGCAGGTGGGCTGAGGTCCATAAAGACAGCATACAAAACACAGACAAAAATGAGTGGAAAGCGCAAAAGCGACGTTCTGAGGACTGAAAGCAATTTCAATATGGAAATAGAATGTCCGGTAGAGTATAGACACTAGTCTTAAAACAATGGATCACAGATGAAAATCAGACAACTAGCCATGATAGGGGAAAGCCGCTCTCACATCAAACATAGCACCCTCCTACTCTGGTACAGTACATTCAGGCTTGACTGCTACTCAACCTCAATCCTGGCTCTCCTCTCCCCTGACTCGTCCCACAATCGCCTCTTCGTTTGCTCCCCCTTTCACACTCCCCCGGCCTCCCACAACTCCCTAAACTTCCCCCTATCCACAACCAGCAACACCCCCGGCTCGCCTACCTCCACAATCCTTCCATTTTCAAAAACCGCAATCCTATCATACCCCCTAATGCTCCCTAACCGATGCGCCACCGCAATAACCGTACACCCCGCAAACTCCCTCTCAATAACCTCCATCACGGTCCCCTCCGTCACCAAATCCACACTCGCACTAACCTCATCCATCACAACCACCTTCGATTTCCTCAGTAAGGCCCTCGCCAAGCAAAACAGCTGTCTCTGCCCATGGCTCAACATCTCCTCTGCATTCATCTGCACATCCAAGCCCCCCGCCAAACTCACAATCCGCCACAGCCCAACCTTCTCAAGTACCGTCTTCGCAGCTTCCGCGTCCGCCCTGTGCAAAGGATCGAGATTCTGCCTAACTGTGCCATTAAGAAAGACTGGATCTTGTGGGATAACAGTCAACCGCTCCCGGAGCATGCTTCGCGGGATGGTAGAGATGTCGATCCCATCAATGATGACTGTGCCTTCCGTGATCTCCAGCAGACGAAACAACGTAGCGACGAAGCTCGATTTACCAGATCCAGACGCGCCACAGATTCCTAGTTTCTGGCCCGCTGGGATGGCGAGATTGACGTGGTGAAGTGCTGGATCTCGATCGCGCGAGTAAGTGGCAGAGAGGTTTGAAACGGTGATGTTGCCTTCTGATGGCCATTTCGACGGTACTGCTTGAGATTCCTGGGGGAGACTCTCGGATGCGGTGCTGGCGACGAAAGATTGGATGCGGGAGATAGCACCTAGTGACGTTTCGACAGCCGTGTAGTGCTGGATGAGGACAGAGAGTGTGATATTGAACGACATAATGTTTATCAACGCCACTCCCACGAATCCCGCGTCAGCGCGGTGGCGGAATGTGACGATCAGAGCGACGAGAATAAATGCAAGAGCAGCCACAAGGAGATCTATGACTAGTGCCAGCCATCTCTGAATACAGTACAAAAGGTAAAACGGTCGTTGAGATGCGTCCAGAAGGTCCATATTTCGTTTCTCCATCTCCCTGGTCCAGCCAAAAGCACGGATTGTGACCAGCCCGTTGAGAGTTTCGAGAAAGTTGCTGTAGAGTGGTGCCTTTGCTTCGAGGTCCGTGAGCCTGATCTGGCGCGAGGTGCGGAGGTAGATCTTTTGCAGTATATAGACTGCAAACAAGACGAAAGGCAAGACGACCGCGAAGTAGGATGTGGAAATACAGATCAAGATTGCTTGGATTATTGCCACGCACACATTGTGTGCTAATATAAGCCCTGCAAGCGGAAGCTCCATGTCAATAACCGACAGGTCCTGGCTGAACCTGTTTAAGATTTGTCCAGCGTCGGTGGATGTGAAGAAAGAGAGTGGTGCGTTTTCGACGGTGTCCAGTAACTTTCCGTGCAGGTAGATTGCGGAACGTGGTATCATCCTGATGAAGAGCATGACGCATAAGGCCATAAGGGTGGCGATAGCTGCGAACTCAACTGCGATAAGTATCCCTAAGTAAAAACCGTTGACCGAGTTGCCATGAACCGCAACGGCACTGGTCCAGAATTTGATCCAGAGATCTTTTTATAATTAGCAAGGGTACAAATGTGATTGGAATAATCTTACCAGGAAATGAGAGTAACATGGAGTAGCAAATCATCACAACTGCCCAAACGGCAACGTTTCGTCGCCCGGCGCTCGTGAAATAATAACCATAAACCGACCAATTCCCGATAGGACGACTGATATCAGCTGCAGCATTTTGTCGGGCCACATCCCCATCTCCCCCTACCTTCGCAGGAGGAACTTTCTCTTTAAGACCACCTTCAGCTTCTGGTATATCGCGTGCAGCTAGCCCAACAACGTAGCCGCTGCTCGCGAGAAGTTGAGCGAGCTTGCCTTGCTCTAAGATTGTACCTTGGGGACTGAGTGCAATGATGTGGTCAGCGTAGGATAGGCGGTGAGCTGCATGCGTGACCAGAATAACAGTTGTACCTAATCGGCGTAGTAACCCATTAGTTCCAAGTAAACGTGAAAATATACGCTCTTCGCTTGTGGCATCCAGACCACTGAAGACATCATCGAGTATAAGGACATGCTGCCGTGAATAAACGGCTCTAGCAAGTGCCTGTCTCACGTTAGCAGCGAACGGTAGGTAGAAAGAGTGCATCGCATACTATCCGCAGCTTTTGACCTCCAGAGAGGGCAGCACCCGCTGAGCCCACCTTGGTACTGTCTCCTTCAGGAAGTGTTTCAATGTCGGTATTCAGCGCACAGGCATAAACAACACTAGCGTACCATTCGGGCTCAAAGTGTGAAATCCCAACAATGTTGTTTCGGATACTGGTATTCTGGATCCAAGAAGATTGATCCACGAATGCAGCATGTGCCTGGCTGATGTACACATGTCCCTTTGACGAAGGAATCTCACCCAGTAGGCCTTTCAGCAGGCTAGATTTGCCACATCCAACTGGGCCGACGATCATCGTTAGTTGCCCGGGTTGGAAATCCAGGGAAACGTCGTCAATCACAGGAGTAGCTTCCTCAGACCAAAGGAGTGTCAAATTTCTAACACGTATGGTTAAGGGTGACAAACTCGCCCCTACTGGTACAGTAATCTCATCCAGCTCGATGTCGGATTCCAGTGTTGTATTCTGAGCGAATGAATCAAGTTCCGTCGTGCGGCTCGAGTCCCCATGTGAAGCGGATACGAGTATTGGATGGTCTCTCTTGGTTGGCGATGAAAGGAATTTCTGGATTCGATCGAAGCAACCAACCGCTGCAATTAGAGGTGGAATGGCGAAAACAATGGCCCGAATAGGTGCAACCAGCAGCGCAATAAGTGAGAGCGCAGTGAATGCCGAAGTGACATTGAGAATCTGTCCATTGACCCTAGCCACAATGACATAGATGGCAAACGCAGTTCCGGGGGCGAAGATATCGGATATGTTGCCAAAGGCTAGCATCGGGATAAATAACTTTCTCATCTTCAGTGATGCGGCGATTTCATCCACTCTCAGCTGATGAACAATGCTGGAAAGCTTTGCGTTGAGACCGAGCATTTTGACTCCCCTCATTGAGTGCAACATCTTTGCAGTTGCATCAATTCGGGTCTGAATCCTTTCAATCCAGCTTTTTTGAGCCTTCCCCATGGGCCCGGAGATCAAAAAGGGGCCAGATACCGCCAGGATCGTGACGATCAAAGGGCCGAAAAGAGCGAAACCAATTTCTCTCTGTAGCAGCCATATTGCAAGACCAATCTCTAGGGGACTTGCCCATACGTTGTGTATAGGAAGGATAGCCTCGCAAATCCGCTCCACATCCGAGCTCATTAATGTAACAGCAGCACTCTCATCCAAGCTCGTAATCGACAACTCCAAAGTCTGCTTATAAACAGCATTGACCAGCGAGCCCCTAACCATCGTCACCATCCTATTAGCTTTATGCTGATACGCACCGCCAGCTACAGCTCTCCCCGCATAAACAAGTCCAAAAGCAGCAGCCAGTCCCCAGCCACGATTACTCGCATCTTCAGAGTCAGGTTTTTGAACTAGTGAAGTGAGGCTGCTGATCAGGAGTGGTTGCATGAATGCGAAGAATGTCAAGGCTAGACGAGGCAATATGGCAGCTGCGAAGGGGCCAAGCATAGCGCGTGAGAGGATCCAGACCAATGTGTGCTTTGCAGGATACTTCTTGCCTTCAGATAACGTCAGTGACTGGAAAGATGGAAGGGAAGGAGGGAGACATACGGTGTACCCAATGTTTGTTAAACCTGATTCCAAGCGCTTTGGATTGCAGATCTCGATCAACAGCAAACAGATCGTCTTCACTCACGACGCTTCTGAATCCGAGTCGGAAGAGCGAGTTCAACCACCAGAAAAGACCCCGAGAGTACAGCCCGCTGGTAGCCTCCGGGGAAGGGTCTGCATAGGGTGTTAACAGTATTTCCCTCTTCTCTGTCGCTTCGGAAATGAGAACAAGAAGTTTGATAGCTAACACGGAGGATGATACCCCGTTTGCAGCTATATCGTCTCCACGTAGCCATCTGGTACGGAGCTGTGCAGCGTCAAAAGGCAGGGAAAGCAGAAGATAAGCGTTGATGATCGAACTTGGTCGAATGTTCCTCGTGTGCTCAATGTACGACAGGAAGCTTAGGCTGAGCGCCGCGGCAAGTGCAAGCACAGCGGCCGGGAGGGATGCACGTGTGCGGAGCGACGATTGAGGCACTTCAACGGTATTGACAACTTGCAAGATGCTGAAAATGGTAAGAAGGGTCTAAGTAATGTTAACACCACACTGCAAGGAGAGTTCTAGAACCCAACAATTTTGATTGTCTGAAGAGAGCTGCTGGTCACCTTCCGAGGTGTCCTCCACAAACGCAGAATTCTGGGGGGGATTAAAATTAAGAGTAAAGCTGACGGCAGGACCGAGAGGATAGTCTCCTCAAAAAGAAGCGTGAAATCGGCTGTCACTCTGCCAGGAAACTCGATAAATGGTCCAAAGCTGTTGTCATCTAGAGAGCCACTCGAATTAATCGCTCGTCTAAGATTCGGAAGGTCAAAATGCGTGTCCATTTTGGGTAAGTTGCGATCTGGTGAGACACCTTTATTAAGCCACTCCTATGCGATAAAATGGGCTTTAATAGTGAAGGTCCATATGGCAGCCTATTTTCCAAGAAGGTCGGAAGATGGATTCGAGTGAGGCAACAATGTTAATGCAAGTGTTCGGGGTTTAACATGCTGATGCCGCGACGCGTTTAGGCCTCAAGATAGGCATCCCGGCCCGTCCCCACAGCTGTAACAGTGGGGCCACATGGCGCTAGTACGTTCGATGAACTAGAACTTGCGGAAAAGGGACAATCAAGCAGAAACTGCCAAAACCAGGAAATCAAGCACAATAAGGGGGATAAAAGGTAGGCAGAGTTTGAAAGCAGGAATAGAATGACATTGACACTTGTCTTGGGAACTTGGATCACGGATGCACCAGCCACAGGAAATTGTCGGAGACGAAAGCAGACCATGTTGTCCCAGACGCCCTCCAATTAATCATACAATTACCAAACACCGACCAAACACCAATCCTTGCGTAAGATGCCTATTTCTATACCAAGGCGCCAAGACCGCAATCAAATTCCCGGCAAAATTCAAATATCCCCCCAAACCTCCGCAACCTTAACACTCAAGGCCTTAGCGATCTTCTTCCTCCCCACCAGATTCCCCATTTCCGCAGAGACCAACTCCGCCTTTCTCTTCCTGCTCTGCTCTCCCCTCCTCTCCTTCTCCTCGATCCTCTTATACGCCTCCACAAACTCGATCGGCGTCTTCCACCTCTTCTGAATCTCCAACGCCTTCTCCCCAGTGATACCTCTCGTGCACATCAGCATTTTCAGATACACATCCCGTAATGTCAAGGTTTCGGATTTCGACGACAGGGAAGCGAATGCTGAGTATGTGATATGGAATTCCGTCGCAGGCTTGGTTTCCCTTAAATGCTCAACAAGTGGCATGTAATTCCCCGTCGTAATAACCTTTGTGGGAATCAAATGCAGTGGTTTCTTCTCATATCTCTGCTTCAACAACTTGGTCATGGAAACAAGGTAACGGATCGTATCATCCATCTTCTGCGTCTTTTTGATGAAATATCCCTCCACAACTTGTGTCCCGGCAATCGCCGATTGTACTGCTTCTTCGTATTTCTGGAAATGGTCGGAGTTCATAGATATTTCTTCAATGATGTAGATCACATTCTTGATTCCGCTTTTGCGGAGGCGGAATTTCTGCTCGTGGAATCGTCCGTCTTTAATGCTGCTTACCAGATCGTCGAGTCGTTTTCGTTCGATGATGTAGTCGAGAAGAACTTCGTCCCCTTCAGCGCCGAGTCGGGAGAGGAGAGCTGGATCTCGGGCTTTGGCTACCCAGAGAATATCGCCGAGCTCGAGGGCTCGCATTATGGGCTTCACGCCGGAAGTGAGAAGATTATTTTGCATGTAGTCTCTATCTGTCTTCGCACGGATTTCTCGGACGTCGAGGACGAGCTCCACTGTGAAAGAGCCGGGTTCTAAAATGATAGGCATAAATGTTGGGAGGGCGGATGGGTTGGAGACCAGCTCTCCTTGAGGAATGATGTCTGCGAAAGAGGAAGTCGGCTTTGTGGGGGATTCTGAAGGTTGTTGGGCTGTTGGGCGAGGAGGACTGAATCCCAGGTCGACAAATTGGTCCTCGTTTGATTGTGCAGCTGGTTTGTCTGCTGCTATAAATGTATCCAATCGTCCTTGATTCGGATCAGAACTCTTCTTAATCCGTTTTGCAACGTCCCATCCCTCATCCGTGAGCGAGTACCTCCTCAATGGCCGTCCCTTCTCACAAACCAAATCCTTCGTGATCAATGTCTTCATCGAACTCCAGGCAGTGTAGAAACTATTCGGGTCGGCAGGTGCTGAGAAAGAGGCATCGCAATGCGGTTGTGCTAACTCAATTGTCTGGGCCTTCGTGAGCCCACTCGGGGCATTTTCGTCGAGTGTCGAAAGTGCCAGGATCAATGCATATGCTCCGGACCTCAGCCCTGGCACATATGGTTTCGGCTTCCTGGCCTTCTTCTTTGGCTGAACACCTTCGTCTCCAGGTTCATCATCTCCGTCATCCTTGTTCTTGCTCTTCTTTCTCTGCTTCTGTGGAATCTCTGGCATAGGCAAGCCGTGCTCCTCGCAATAAGCCTTCAGCTTGTCCGTCAATCGACTGCATAGCTTTGGCCCGAAGCCTGTGAGTTGCTGTGCTTCGGATGGATGGGTGAACGGTAGAGGACACGATTTCAACGAGTCATGGGCTGTCTTGTAGGTCGTTACGCCTTTCGAATTGCGTTCTCTGGCAGTGTCGAGCCATTCTTTGACCCAGGAGAGAAGGAGGGGGTTCGCGCATTCGGCCATTGTGGAAAATGGTGGTGGGAGCTGTTGGAAAGCACAGCGAAAACAGCTAAGCCATGTGCAAGATGCAAGTGAAGGACAGTGCAGGGTGCAATTGGTGAGGAGTGAATGTGAAGCAATTCATTGAAGACCCGGAGATGTTGAAAGTGATCGACGCGACGATAAACACGCTTCCACGTGACTTACAGGGGTGACCCCCGCAAGCCGTATTTTGCTGCATTTTGCCCCTCTTTGGCGGTGAAGCTTGCTTGCAGCGAACATGCAGCACCAAACCAGAAGCGAGCCAGCAGTTTGACAGCATAGAGTTCGATCCGTAAAGAGCTTTAACTGCAGCGCCCCACACTTCTCACTCAGCTTCAGCTTTCTTCCTCGATTCCCTCAACCTGCCCTCCACCTTGCTGAACATCCTCCTCGCCTCCTCTGCGAATCCCCTCGAACCCCCTCGAAACCCCCCGGATCCCCTGTACCGCAACCATGGACGGCAAGATCCTCGCAGCTTCGAGCAAGCACACCAAGCCCGTTGACCGCGTCTTCCAATATGGCACCGCAGGTTTCCGCATGAAGGCCAACCTCCTCGACAGTGTGGTCTTCCGCGTAGGTCTCGTCGCTGCTCTCCGATCCCGCAAACTCGGTGGCCAGACAATTGGTGTGATGATCACAGCCTCGCACAACCCACCTGAAGACAATGGCGTCAAGCTCGTGGACCCAATGGGCGAGATGCTGGAGAACAGCTGGGAGGCATATTCGACCGAGCTTGCGAACGCGAGGGATGAGGACTTGCTGAAGGTCTACAAGAGCTTGGAAGAGAAGCTGAAGATTAATGGCGAGACAACGGCCAGAGTCATTTATGCGAGGGATACGAGAGCTTCGGGGCCTGCGCTGGTGCGGGCTCTGGTGGATGCTTTAGATGCTACGGGAACAGAATACACGGACTACAAGCTGCTGACGACTCCCCAATTGCACTACTTGACGAGATGCACGAATACGGAGGGCACACCGCAGAGTTATGGAGATGTCAGTGAGAAAGGATACTATGAGAAGCTTAGTGAGGCATTTGTGCGGGCCATGAAGGGTAAGAAAACCGTCGGTGCTGTAACAGTGGATTGTGCCAATGGAGTTGGTGGGCCCAAGTTGCATGAGTTGGTGAAGTATCTGAAGAAGGGTTCAGAGGGTGGTGTGGATATCAAAATCATCAATGATGATGTCCTGAAAGCCGAATCCTTGAATCATGAGGCAAGTCTCAACCCATTAGAAACTTGCATTTCTAACTCGTTCTAGTGCGGGGCCGATTTCGTCAAGACGAAGCAACGAGCACCACCAACCTCCAAGGCTGGCAACAACGAGCGTTGCTGCTCCCTCGATGGCGATGCCGACCGAATCATCTACTATTTCAACGACCCTGAGCATGGTTTCCGTCTTCTAGACGGTGACAAGATCGCCACGCTTGCAGCATCCTTCATCGGGGACCTGGCTCGAGAAGCACGCCTCGCAGAAGAGCTGAAAATTGGCGTCGTACAAACCGCCTACGCCAACGGAGCCTCTACAAAATACGTCGAGAAATCCCTCGGCCTACCGGTGGTCTGCACACCGACTGGAGTCAAATGGCTGCACCACGCCGCAACAAAGTTCGACGTTGGAGTTTATTTCGAAGCCAACGGCCACGGAACCGTCGTCTTCTCGCCACAGGCACTAAAGGCGTTCCACACCAAGGAGCCAGAATCGCCAGCCCAAGCAGCTGCCCTCAACACCCTCCGTGCATTAGCAGATCTCATTAATCAAACCGTCGGCGATGCACTCTCTGATATGCTGCTCGTCGAAACTATACTCGCGCACAAGGCTTGGACACCGAGGGAATGGGACCTGACCTACGTCGATCTACCAAACCGTCTCGTCCGCGTGGAGGTCAAAAACAGAAATTTGTTTAAGACTACCGATGCCGAGAGGAAACTCGTCGAGCCGCAAGGACTGCAAGAGCAGATTGATGCCCTGGTTAGCAAAGTTCGAGACGGTAGGAGCTTCGCCAGAGCATCAGGTACGGAAGATGCAGTGAGAGTTTATGCTGAGGCTGTCACGAGAGGGGAGGCTGATGACCTGGCGAGCAAGGTTGCGGGATTGTGTAGGCAGGAAGGGGTTGGTTCTTGAGGATTGGGTGAGGATACGAGAAATGACTTGATGGCGGAGTTTTGATTTGGGAGTAAGAGGGGAAGGCATAGGGTTATATTAGGAAAAGTTCTCTATTTTAGTCTCCTTTTCGCGTTATCAATTCTTTGCTTGTTCTAGGTTCTAGTAAATTTTGAGGAAGTACGAGCGGAGTAAGTCAAGTGACATCCCGCTTCGTGCCCACTCACAGTAGCTGCATATTGTATCCGCACCCAATGATGATGTCAACAGACTACCCAAATTCGTGACGCGCTCATAATCCAAGATGTAAGAAATTAGATTTCTCCTCCCTTATCCCACCTCAAATATTCCTTTTTGAACCTTCTCATTCACTTTCTTCCTCTCATCTCCTGTACGACTAATGCGCACCTCATTCCTTCCAACCCGCAACCGACGAATAATCTTTACTTGTAACGGCGGGCAATCCCCTAGGAGACACACCCCCAGAATGTCAGCGGGAATACCTTCCTCAACAGCACAAGTTCAGAAATCCGCCGAGATGTCTACCAGTGCCAGTTCGAACGGGAGTGATTTGGGGATTGAGAGCACGGATATCAAGACCGCGACTGGCGTGAGCTTGAGTTCGCAGCAAAGGGTGCTAGTTGGCGGTGTCCTTGATGTATTTCTCCCCGTTCGTCTTTCCCCTTCAAAGTAAGGTTGGAGGGAGGAAGAGGAAAGGAGTGCTAACGATTGGACAGTTATTTGCAGGCAAACCAACCCTCAAAAAACTCCAGCTCTGGACCGACGACGCAACGTTTGCCGATCCGTTGACAAAAGCCGAAGGGAGGAGGCAGTATGAGGCGCAGTGGTATGGGTTGAAAGCCGCCTTCTCTGAGATCGTTTGTACCCCTCTCCCTCGTTCTCGCCTCCCTAACTAACAATGAGAGCAGGAACAACTCCACCAATCCGTAACCTCCTCTGGAAACCCAATAACAATGGATCTCAAAACGAGGTATAAAGTCAAAGGAGTAGGCAGCGAGCAAACAATCGAGTCTGTCATCAAGATTCACACCACGCCTTCGGGCGACCGTATCACACAGGTCGAGGATCGGTGGAATGGGAATATACCCGAGGGGGCTTTTGCGAAGGTCGGTCTTTTTCAACTATGGAATCCGTTTTGGTGGGTGAAAAACGCGGGAATTGTGGGGGTTCGGTGCTGGAGGTTGGTTTGGTGGGCGCAGCCGTGGGAGGTGAGTCGAGAGAAGTGTCTTGAAGCTGCCTCCCGAGGTTGGAGTGAGTAGATGTGCGACGAGTGCGGAGAGGAGGCGAGAAAGAAGAAGGGAGTTGAGACAGTGGCTGACTGATAATAGGCTTTTCGGAATCTGAATAGTGTCGTTGTCCCGGCCTTTGTGAGTGTGCCGAAGAGTAGTGAGGAGGAAGAGGGAAAAGGGAAGTAGTTGAATCTGCATTCAAGGGGGTAGGACGGGAACTTAGTGCTTGACTCCTATGCTTCGAAGAATCTAGTTTCTGGTCTGTTTTTGGAAGGCGAGATTTAATCCAGCAACCAAGAAAGTGCACTTTCAACCAAAAGATCATTACTCGTCTCCTCATTGCGCACAAACGGACCCCTGGGAGGACCATTTTTTGGACCCCTATTTCCATCAAGCACCGCAGACTGTGCCATCAAGAACTTCCACATCCAATCATCCAGTACAAAAGAATCAAGCGAACTCACTCGGCAGTGATTTTGAAACGATCGCAGCCTTCCAACCTGGAACATCGTTTAGTCCTCTCTCCCCAAAAGACACAACAAGACTCACTGCAGCATCAATCACCGGCCAATACCTTTTCAGCCTCATCAACATATCGAAGTTGGATATCAAGTGCTGCCTCGCTCTGTCAACATCCCCTCCTCCAAGCAACAACGTATGGAGGTGAATGCTCGAGCTGACAACCAGAATATGCCCAATGATATAGTAAACCAGCTCCCCGCCTTGAGAAGCGATCTCCGACACCACCATTGCGTGTTTCTTGCATTCCGAGGCGAGTCGATTGTCATTCCGTGGATCCAGAAAAGGAAAATAAAGCAGTTGTCGGTAATGATGGTACCCGATATGCATAGCTAGAAATGTTTTCCCGAAACCAATCTCTTGGAAGAACGTCAAGTTTTCAAGGCTGTATTTTAATCTTGCAGGTAAATTCTGCTCCCACTGGTCCAGCCGGTTTGCCAGCAGACCCACTTTGTTGATTTGTGAGGCTAGTGTCTCCCCAGAGCCCAAGAGGATAATGATGTCGAGAATCTCGCGAAAGATATCAATGGTCTTGGCCATTTGAGTCCAGATGCCATGTTGCGGTAGTCTTTCTCTCAACGCGAGGAAATCCTCTTCGTCTAGCAAGCTGAGGTTTTCTGGCGGGTATTCCGAGATCACAGGCGCGATTGACATATCCGCTGTACTCCAATTTCCCGTGATAACCACGGAGAGATATGTACGTCTTCGTGTCTCCTGCTCGAGTAGAGTCATGCCTAATGTGTCCCACAGACGGAGAGACTGGCAGTGTAGACGGGCTAAGCCTGTACATACATGCTTTGCTCGAACATCACCTTCTCCGCCTAGGTGTTGCGAGATTAAGATGTATCCTTGGACGGATTCCAGGCTTGGCCGCATCATCTCCTTTTGCAGCAGTTCAATCGCTGCTGTTGCAGATGCTAAAGCATAGGGTCGTGGATCATCGCCGAAGTACTCGTTTGTTGAAAACCTTCGACATTAGGTGAGTTTTCCGAACTCCGGGCTTGTCTGTCTTACCTGCTGGAGAGCGAGATCATTGCGAGTAGCAGGAAACTAGGAACCATATTTTGGGCGAGTCTGGAAAGAAATGTCGGTTCGTGGAAGAGAGTATGTGGTCCATCGTGTATGAATCGAAAATAGAGCTCCACCAACTCACCAAGAACTGGCCGTGGTGGTATTGGCAACACTGGGTCATCTGAAGGAACACATGAAGCTGTTGCACAACTCGTAGTAGCAGGTGACAATTGATCATCTGCGCAGACGATTGGGCGAGTTTGCCCAATACGACGAGTCAAGCTACAGGGTATGGATTGTTGTTTGCACAATTGGCAATTTCTGTCCTCATCAGAGGGATTTGTCAGGCATTTGCGTTTCCGAATCCTGGGGCGGGTCGTCAGTAGTTTTCCTTAGAGTACGAAGTAGTTGGGAGTGGGTAGGGGGTGAGTGAGGTATGCAAAGTACCGGCAATTCCGGCACGCACTGGACCTTGCCCGCTTCTCTGACATTTCCAAGCACAGATGCTGAATGTTTGATGAAGAAAAAAGATCGCGGCGGTGAAGATGGGATTTGACTGGGCACATGCCCGCAGCATGTGGGGTCTGCCGGGCTACAGGGTTCTCCAAGCCGAAGTGGCGCCCCCCACCCCCCAGTGGCGGAGCCTCGCAGGGCACTTGGCGAGACCCCCTATTTCGCCTCTTCTACCAGAATCTCGGTGCAGGAGATACCGAGCAAGACGAATGGGAAGAAGACATCAGAAGTGTAGGTTCGGTCTTCAATCTCACATTTTTATCTATTTTTTCCAACAACATTATCGTCCATCTACCATGAAGGATCGTACATCCACCGCAGGTGTTGAACCAGTCTTCCCAGGGCCGTGGGACCAGTATAACTTTTCGCCAGCTTCACGAACTCAATACCCCATCCGCATCCACCGAACTACCGGCATTGTCGAGAATGAAGCCAATCTACTTGACTTCAAGAGTACCATTATTCACGCCTTGAAGCAATCCAATGAAGTCAAATATTCCGAGCTCTACTCTTCAATAACCGTCGACTTCGGCAAGGAAGTTTGTGGGCCTGTGACTTTAAGAAGTGGTCGAACATCAACGGATCAAACCGTCGCATTGGCATACGCTGAAAGTTCGCAGTGGGTAGGATTTGACAGCGATGATTCTTCTTCCTTGCGGCCTTCGGTCTCAGACGGACACTTCGAATTCCAAATGGGGCCAAATGAGACATACACTGTACCGATGGAGAAGCAAAGGGGAGGCTATCGATACCTCACCATCTTCACCAAGACACCTGGCGCAATCTTAGAGATCAAAGAAGTCTCTGCATATTTCACTTCCATGCCTCATTGGCAGAACCTCAGAGCATACTCATCGTATTTCTTCTCCAACGATGAGCTTCTCAACCGCCTCTGGTATGCATCCGCATACACCAATCAACTGTCGACACTTTCAAAAGATCAATCTCGACGGTGTGAGCTTGATTCTGGTTGGCTGAACAATGCTATTTGCTGCACTTCAGGAGAGACGGTAATTACAGACGCCCCTCGAAGGGACAGGACAGTGTGGGCTGGGGATCTCGCCATCGTTGTCTGGTCACAATTCGCTACTATCGGTGACTCCATCTCTATGCGAAATGCCTTAGATACACTTTTCGATGTCCAGAGTGAGAGAGGACAGTTTCCTTGGGCAGGACCGCCTATTTGTCATGACAGTGTCAGCGAGCTTGCAAAATCTGGAGACTGGCCATACATTTCCGACTCTTATCATCTATGGACAATGCTCGTTGCCAGACATTTCTTTCACTTAACAGGGGACTTGGAGTGGCTGAAGGCAAAGTGGCAAGGACTTGTTTTAGGGATGCAGTTAACAGTATCAAGAGTGCGTTTCACTTCCAAACCAACATTTTACGTTTTGTGCTTACGTTGTAGTTTCGGGTTGATGAAGGACTATATTACTCCGCCGGAGAGTTAGACTGGGGTCGCTCATCAGTTGAAGGCTTCAATCTCTCCTGCAATATCCTCTTTCATGAAACTCTTCTCAGAATGGCACCTCTTGCAACACTACTTGCGTCTCCAGACCTCGCTTCACAGTGGTTGGAAATAGCCTCCACGCTCAAACCAAATCTGGAACGATTTTGGGACCCCTCAATTGGTTTATACAAGGACAACCTGAATGCACCTTATCTCCATCCTCAAGACGGGAATTCCTTGGCATGTTGGTTCGGCATCTCTACTCACGAACGAGCTCAGATAATAACCACGAACTTGAAGAAGAGGTGGGGTCCGTTCGGTCCAATCAATCCTGAATGTTCAGGCCCAGTATCACCTTTCATCTCGGGATTTGAATTGCAAGCCTTAATTCACGCGAGCAGGATGAACGATGCACTGGCCATGATCCGCACTGCTTGGGGATGGATGATTAACAATCCGGCAAGCACTGGAAGCACGATGCTCGAAGCCTGGGGTGCAGATGGCAAAATCACTTATCCATTTTACAAAGATAAGCCGAGTTATATCTCCCATTGCCATCCTTTCTCCACCGGGCCGGTTCTCGTTTTAACCTATGAGCTTCTTGGCCTCAATTTTACCGATGCAGGAGGTAAGAGTTGGGAATTTAGACCCTGTGTTGGGGATTTGGAGCATTGTCAAGGAGGGTTTACGGGTACTCATGGGAAGTACTCAGCTGGTTGGAGGAAGACGAGGGAGAATGGAAGAATTGTTTTTTCGTGCTGGGTAGAAGCTCCTGAAGGCACAACTGGAAGAGTTCGGTTACCAGTATTGACAAGTGGAGGGCCAAAGAGCACAGGCAAGAAGGAAAGTGTCAAATGCGAGAATAAGGATGGCTACGAGTGGCTTGATGGCATTTCAGGCGGAGAGCGTCATAATTTTGTTACTTAAGCCAGCATCTATGTTCAATGACCATGTATTCCATTTGGAATGTTCTAAAACATCAAACAACATCTGTAAGCCTAATCTCAACCTGATCCTTGAATATTTTGGATGCTGCACCGTAGACACTTTCGATCTTGAGTTGTCCAAAATCGAATGTTCTATAAACTGTTGAGCAATCCGGTAGTCCTTCTAAATGTTACTAGAGACACATCATTTAGATGAGCCAAGAAAACCAAGTTTGCCAACCTAACAACTCAATGGAAATTAGATATTGAGGGGTTTAGAAGTTAGGGGCGGGTAGAGTGTAGTCTAAGAGGGCTCCCAAGGCGGCCACCAACCCAATCAAAAGACAAGTTCGCCGCCGCTAACCCACTCACCTACCCCTTGGTAGCGGCATTTCCCCACTCCACATTTCTCACCCTGGCCACATCCAGAGCCCATTTCTTCCCCAGGGCCATAGAGCCCCAGGCCGTCCCCGTTCTCCATGGGGTGCATCGCTACTTTTCCTGGAGATGAACCAGATCGCGGCCCGAAACCTCGCCCTCGGGACAGTACACCGCGAGTGGCTTTGACTAGTTTGATCAAACCTGAACTGTTGATGAAGGTATAAAGCCAGGCATTTGCTCATGCAGTGAAGCATCAATTAACGGTGAAATATCTACCTCCCCCGCAACATCACAATGAACAGCTACGTTCTTCTCATCGCCTTGGTGGTTGCCTTCGGAGGCTTTGTCTTTGGAGTTGACTCGGGTAAGCCCCTCAGCTCGATTCATACATTCATGGCTTATATCCTGTAGGGATCATTGCGACAACACTCGGTCATAAAACATTTGCTGTGTACATGTACGGCCCGTCAGCTAAAAATGCATCATTGACTGGTAGGTCCCCTAAAGTCAAGTCATTGTTCGAAACATTTCTGACACATTAGCAGGCGCTATCGTGTCGGTCTATAATGCTGGCCAAGCTGTCGGAACTTTCATTACCGGATACAGCGCCGACAAATTCAGTCGTAGATGGACCATCTGTGCTGCTGGAATGATTGGTGAGTACAATCAATCCATCTCCTTTCCACGAACTAACAATACAGCAACCTTCGGGGCGGCGTTGCAGACTGCAGCTCAAAACGTAGGCATGATGATTGCAGGAAGGTTCTTCGCCGGTCTTGCCTGTGGCATGATTCTCTCAGTTGTACCGGTATACATAGCTGAAGTCTCACCACCCAAGAACAGAGGTTTCATTGTTGGTCTTCAAGGCATGATGATCTCCATTGGGTTCATGGCTGCGAACTGGATCGGCTATGCAGGAGGGTTTGCTTCCGGAAATTCTCAATGGAGAATTCCTCTAGCTATGCAAATGCCAGGAGCAATCTTGCTATCTATTGGATGTTTCTTCATCCCTTATACTCCACGTTGGCTAGTTGGAAATGAGAGATATGATGAAGCTAGGGCAGGTAAGAGCCATATCCCTCTGAAGGACTCGATCTGGAACAATAAAGAATCAAGAATTTCAAACAGAGTCATTCTAATTCTCAATCAGTCATCGTCCGTCTTCACGGAGACTCATCCGAAGTCTTCCTCGCCCAAGAATTCACGCAGATCCATGACCAAATCCTCCTCGAGCGTGAAGGGCGAAACACAAACGCCCTCATATCCATCAAGAACCTCTTTTCTCGCCGCTATATCCGCCGCACTGCTACCGCATGTTTCATCCTAATGATGGGTCAGCTCAGCGGCTCGACAGTCATCCAGAACTACCAGAGCATTTTCTACGCGTCGGTGGGATACACCGGGCGTACTTCGCTGCTCATCAGCGGCATCTACGGCTTCATGGGAGTATTCGGACAGATTGCTTACCTGTGCTTTGTTGCGGACAAATGGCTTAGAACAAGAACACTTTGTAAGTGTCCCCTCCCGTGCAAATGCCGTAGCATGACTAATACGCGTTCTAGGGATTGGATCTGCTTTCCTCTGTATCATGATAAGTCTCATCATGGCATTGTCAGCCGAATTTCCCTCTGGAACCAAAGACCCATCTGGTCCCCGTGCCGCAATTGCATTCATCTTCATCTACTCCTTCGGCTACGCGCTCTTCTTCAACGCCATGGTGTGGGTTGTTCCCGTCGAACTCTTCCCATTCTTCCTTCGTAGCAAAGGTCTCGGGCTTGGCGTATTCTGCAAAGCTGTCGTTGCAATCGTGCTCGCTCAAATTACGCCCATCGCCATCCAGCATGTCGGCTGGAAGTACTATTCCTTGTTCATTGCTAGCAACTTTATTGCGGGGTTTATATACTATTTCTTTTTGCCAGAGACGAAGGGAAAGAGTCTCGAAGAGATCGCGGAATTGTTTGGTGATGCCTTGGCGACAGAGCAGCTGGAAGATATTGATACTAGTGGAAAGGAGGGAATGATGGTTCGGGGAGAGGCGAAGCATGTCGAGTCGGCACTCTAAACGCTCCAATGCAAGTGGGATCCAGAGACAAGTGGGCCAGAACGCTCCTTACTACTTGTAATCATCCCTACCTCGAATCTAAAAAATCACTTATCTGCTCGGTCCCTCGTTGAGGGCAGAAAAGAGGCACTTATCTTGAGTATCCTAAGTCAGCTTAGAACATTTGATTAGAGTGGTGAGGAGCTGAAATCAATGTTCTAGAATTTCCGGGATGTTTACAGGGAGTAGACTTTTAATATGCAATATCGTGTACATTTAAAGAGGCAACGTCCAGCTCAACCTCGGACATTGAAAATAAGTGCAGCTTTTTCTAATCCTCTGACAAAGCAGGCATCAAACCAACCCACTTCCTCTGACTCTCCTCACATTCAACTTCTCTTATCAACCATCTCGCAATATCACTCCTACTCGTGCTCAACTTCCACCTCTCATCACCAATCCACCCCGCGCTCGCAAAACCCTTCCCCACCGTATCCGTCAAGTACCCTACTCTATATAGCGTCCATTGGATCCCGTTCCCATACTTCTCGAAGCTTTGTGTGATTGCACGAATCTCCGAATAAGGTCCTGCGCCTACGCGTTTGAATATCATAAGCATGAAATACATTGGCAATGAGAAGGTATCTTGTGGTGCTTCTTGAGATGGAGTCGATAAGGCGAGGACGTAGGGACGATTCGAGGTTGGAAATGTCAAAATCTTTTGAAGGAGCACGGTGTAGAACTCGGAGATTGCTTTGCCTTTGTAGCTGAGTCCTTGAGGACCGAGAACTGAGACGATGTGTGAGAATGAAGGAAGTAGCGGAAAGAGTTTAGCGGTCTCAGTCAGTAGTCCTATTATCATCTGTCATTGTCAGCCTGGACGTTAATTACTCTAGTTTTGGTTTACTTGCAGTGATGTTTTGGTTGTCTTTGATCTCTTGGGCTAGTTTTTCTGGACTTCGAACAAAAATCGTGATTTTGAAGTGGTGAGCTAGAGCCTCCTGGGTTGTAAGCGCACCTAGAGGCCCAGTGGAACCAAGAATGAGAATATTTTTCTTTGTATTCGAAGCAGCTGAAGACATGATGACTTGTGGAAATCTTTGCCCACGGGATTGGAGGAACGTTTTCTTTGCGTAATAAACTGGCAAAGGACACAGACAAAATGCCACAATCCATTCGCCTTAACTATTTAACTTGCCCATTTACAAAGCAGCCAAGCTACCAATGGCGAAATCTAAGGGCGCCTGCACATTACCTCCAATCAACTCCAGGGGGAAAGAGTAGCGGGGTTCCTTGTACCCGCACTTGCATCCGCAGCTGCACCCGCATCGCGCCCCGCACAACAGCCTACATAACTCACACCCCCCGCCCGCATCTGCATACCAACAAATCATTAATCAAAGATGGAATCGGGCAAATCCAAAGATACGAGACAAGCTTGTACGAGATGTCGCACCCAGAAACGGAAATGTGATAAAGGACTCCCTAAATGTGGGCTGTGTATGTGGTAAGCAGCCCCGCTTTTCTTGCTGGTGAGATCTAACCACTCTACAGCCTGAAAAGAGCGTGCACCTATGACACCAGCTTATCACCGCCCGAGGAATCTCCTGATTCATCGGAGCCTTCGCGAGGTCTAAATTCAGAAACCCCAGCCTCATTCTTGTCATCAGAAGAGGGCATCAAGGCAGCTATCATGCGGAGGTTTTCAGAAACTACACCCGAAGAGGTGGCCACAGGATATTATCGCAGCATCCAGACCTGGTTTCCCATCATCTCTTTCTTGGAACTGTGTGCGAGGTTACCCGGAACATGGGAACAAGCAAGCACAGACATGTGTCTCCTATTCATGAGCATGTCCCTGCTTCGACAAGTTCCCGAGACCCAGATCATGGATGGTAACTGTCGGTTACCAAAGGCATTAGAATCCTCGTATCTGTCGCTCAAGAGCTGGATCGCCATTCTCGAGGGAAGGGGGATGAACTCTCTCGATTTTCTCCACGCAAAAGCCCTCTTAGTGCTATTTGAAGTTGTACACGGCATCTTCCCCGCAGCATACATAACCATTGGCGCCTTATTCCGAGCAGCGGATGCTCTTCACATATACAACAGCGGTCAGACAAATGATTACAGCGAGACGTGGCGGGGGATCCTGATACTGGACAGGTGAGCGAGAAGCAGCTGCTTAATTTATATGACGAAAGTCTAAAATGCTAGCTCTAGATGCATTGCTATTGACAAGAAGCACTACCCCTCAATCAGCAGCTACCGAACCTTTACCATCTTGCAGACCAATCCATCACCACCTGAATCACCTTCGCCAACCCCTTTCGCATTTTCGCGCCTGTTCGAAGCCTCTGATATCCTTTCGGCGATACACAAAGCTGAGAAACCAGATGGATCATTCATTCTTAGCGACATACCGCACCCCGCTACCCTGGACTCATTCAAGAAAACGTTGGAGGAGGAGGTCCCTCATGAGTTGAAGGTCTATAGTGGCAGTTGGGCTATTTTCAATACGTTAGCTATCTATCCCATTTGTCCCCTTTAATCTAGACCAGAAGTAACATGTCGCCCAGTGCTTTGCTTTTACTGCACGAAAAAGACAGGCCAGGCGATGTACGAGATTCAGACGTGTTGATACCCCGCATTCTATCCCGTGCGTATAGAGAGGAAATGCTTTCAGACATCGCCAACGCAGTCCGGCCATTTGTGGAAGAAGACTCCGTTCTAAATTTCGAGCTTTTTCTTCCTCCTTTCGTTACATACCTCACGTATAAATGTGCTACAATCCTTACGGCGAGGTTGCAGATAGGAAATATGACTCTTCCAAGCATCAAGATGTTGAAGTTGATGAGGAGTTTCTTGAAACTAGTTAGTGGCAGATGGCTTATTGCAGGTGAGTTTATTACACGCGGAATCTTCGTTACCGTTACTGAACTGTTAAAGCATACTTTTTGCGCATGATTGATGAAGATACTACTCCTCGGATGGCAAAGGCCTTGAGTGAGACTAAATAGCACTGAAATTGACTCGCCGCTCTCGGGTTTCCTTCTTTTTATACCTCGGCGGGTGAATTAGATCTGGTGTTTAGCGAAGAAAACAACTTTCCGCTCCTAGAAAATCCACCCAGCCATCTGAGTCACAAACGAAGTACTTTCCAAGAGTATTAATATATATAAGCCTACTGTTATACATAATTTCCTTAGAACTTTTTTCCCCCCAGGACTTTTTGATTAAAAACTACTTGCATTAATAGTGAACCAGACGGGCTAATTAGCTCTTAACCCTCTTTCGCCAAAAACAGCCGCTATCTAAGAGGTAGGAATAGTAGTCTAAGCAACTATTTAATTCTCAATTCTTTTGTTTTTTGCTTTAATTATGAACTTGATACACAGCGATAGCTAAAGTTGGAAGGCCCGTTCCATGGCCCTACCAAGGGCAATTCGGTCGCTTTGTGAAAGACCACCGCTGCTAGAACTGCTGGTTGTGGAGCTCGTTGGTGAGATGAGAGAATCTGTTGACGTAGCTGATATTCGAGAGGCAGAGGAAATTGAGGTTGAGAATGAGGGATTCGGTGGGACTTGGTCGGAAGAGGATGCCGAGGAGGCAAGTGCTTGTGTGGAAGCTGAGTGAGAATGGCTGGTCTAGAGTACCACTACCAATGTCTGCGGGCTAGAACCGAGACCTGTGGGAACGGCAGCCGCAGAAGGTGTAATAGATTGCGAAAAAGATGGCGGGGGACAAGAATTGTCGTTCGCTGGCGGAGAGCATACTCCTATCCCCACTTCCGTACGGAGATCGCGGCGTAAAGTATCAGGAATACAGGGCATTGGGAGACTTTGAAACTCTCTAGCGTACAGATCAAGGTAGCAAACTCGCTATAAAGCCCTATATTTCCAGGCCCTTCCCCTAAAAGTAGCCTGTGCGCCTTCGACAAGGGCTGCAACACCTTTTACTTTGGGCTTCTCCCCTGCACTTACAAGGGGGTTATCGCTAAGCGGGCCTATAATAGCAACTCGTTTAACGTCCGGGCGCTTTCGTTACTCTACTCTGCCACCCCCTAATTAAATATAACACGATTTAAGGAGCACTGCCTAGACTTATAGGGGCTTATAGCGAACTCTTGCCCTAAATCCGTACTCTGTAGAATACCAGGGTCAAAATGCCCTGTATTCCCGATACTTCATGCCGCGATCTCCGTATCTACACGCACTCTGGAAGATTGAACCCTATATAACGAGGGTAAGGTTGAAATGAGCTGACGGGCCCGAACAATTTTTTTTTTGACTTGGCTCCTGGACCGCGGCCTGGCGGGCGGGGAGGCGGGGAGTTGTTCGTGGGGATTTATTGAACCTAAAGAATCGGCAATTCAATCAGTCAATACCGAATGTGGAGGACAAGCATTTCTCGTGCCTGGGGTGTAACACGGAAGAACTGAGTGCACAGAACAGACGCAACCGGGAACAATTTTGCCAGGGAAAAAATCGCAGGGGAACTTGTCGCATTGCACGCGCCTTTAGGTATGGAAATATGACCAAAACGCGCGTGACTAGAGAAAATACCAGGGTGTTCACAATTTGACTCGGTGCCCCGAATTGCATCCCTGACCCTTAGGGCGGGGTTTCTGCAAAGGGCTGCAAACCCCGATGTCACGCGATCCCTGGCTCCCCTACAAAGTGTTGAAATTAGGGGCCTGAGGCCCCTAATAGGCTTAGTAAGCCCTGGAACCGAACGCCATGGGGCTGTGCACTAGCTTAATACCCTGTCCAGCTGGAATACCCTGTATAGCTGGAATACCCTGTACGGCTGGAATACCCTGTATAGCTGTAATCGGTTCAGCTGGCATAGGGATTTAGTACATGTGACTTAGGGGGTTCAGGGCTATATATACGGGCTACTTACCACTGTAGAACAGCAGTCAATTCAGTATCGTTTACTTGGTTTACATTGCAAGCACGTGACCCTAGCTTTATTACTTAGCTAGTTCAACACAAAGGTGCCGCCGATATTTCTCAATCCACATTTATTCGTTTGACAACATTAGATCAGTCTATCACTACGTCCTGGCGAGAACAAGTTGCTTTAATTCATATAGCCTTGAACTACGTCGTCCAAGGATTTCATCAATACCCCAGCAAGAAGACAGGCTCGATAAAGAGAGTTATGTCGGCGGTCTGCGATCACTGCGTTCAGAATGTTCCTCTGGACCTCTTCCTCCCCCTCCGAGCCCTGGGTCGGTACAGTCGCGGCTTAGGCTGGTTCCTTGGCGTCGAGGTGTTCAAAGGTGAAAATGCCGTTGCTGAACTCGATGCGTCACGGCGCAAAGGGTGCCCTCTTTGCAAGATTATGTGGACTGCATTAGAGGCAGCTGAGCCTATCTGGGCGACAAACGACTTCAAAGGGACTGGCCATAACAAGATCCTCCATGCACCAAGGCAGCATCTGTCCAAGGAAAAGTACGAGCCCGGGATTAAAGTAATAGTAACGGTCGAAGGCGAGATGAAGATCACTGATGGACGGAGGACGAGCGGTGTGTATTGGGAACTGAAGAGCAAAGGGTATGGCAAAGTCTTTGGTACGTAGATTCGCACTCTGTAAGATCCAGCCCAATCTGAGATTTAATACCAGCTGCTATTCGAGCGAGAGCGGCCTGCGACGAGAATTTCGATATGATAAAGGGCTGGCTGAGAGAGTGTACGGAGAGCCATGAGCCGTGTTCGAAGCATCAGGGCGGTGAGACATTTCTGCCAACAAGACTCATCGACATCGGTCCTGGTCATGACGCGGCGCCGCTTCAACCACGACTAGTCATGTCGAGCTCTCTGGACCGGACGACTCCTTACTTCGTTTTGAGTTACTGTTGGGGTACCGACCGCGGCAAGACCGTCCACAAGACCACGCGAGACAATCTACCATTGCATCTGGAGAACATCGAAACTACTAACCTAAACAAAACATATATCGATACCATGGAAGTTATCCGGAAGCTAGGATATCGCTACATATGGATCGATGCTCTATGCATAATCCAGGATGACCGATCAGATTTCGAAGTCGAATGCAGTCAGATGAACCAAATCTACTCGAGAGCATACTGCACTATAGTAGTAAGTTCTCCATTAGCTAAGCATAACTAGAGTGTCATGTGAAATATCTTCTAACAACCGTTAGGCTGCTGACTCTCCAGATGGCGATGAAGGTTGCTTTCTTCCTCGTGATACCGAGGGAGTAAACGCTGCCACATATCATGCAATCAACAAATGGATTCCATACTATCCCGATGGGATTATGGACGTCCCCGTGGCCGATTCGAGACAGACCCAGATTCCGCCGACGTAACTATATACCCCAACTTCGGACCGTGGATTAAGAGTATTAATCAGGGTCCCGTCTTCCGCCGGGGATGGTGCCTTCAGGAGCGGGAGATGAGTCCTCGCGTGCTGCACTTCACCAAATCGCGGATACTCTGGGAGTGCCGAGAGAGTAACGCATCGGAGGACGCACCAGAGATGGTGTCGAAAGAGGCGCAAAATCTCCAGCTGGGATCACATCTATCGAGCGCTCGGCTATTTGACGACCAAAGGACAACTGCGAAGTTGAAGACTAAAAGCGGCGTCATCTACGAGGGGCCAAAGTGGGAGCGGCTGGCTGAGGCATATTCACAACGCAAGTTGTCCGTGGAGACCGACAAACTTCCGGCCATATCCGGTCTGGCGGCGGCTCTCGCGTTGCGACAGCCGGATGATACGTATCTAGCAGGAATATGGAGAAGTGATTTGCTTAAGGGTGTATCATGGATTCCAACTAAGTGGGCGGAGAGACCTCCTGTAGATTGTCCAGTGTCTGGTGCTTCTACGGACGCCATGATTTCATCAATGCAAGCTCTCTCTATAACCAAGAACGAGTTAGAGCCGAGAACAGACGATATCTGGGCTCCCAAGCCCGTACAGCCTAGCATACCGTCGTGGTCATGGGCTGCACACAACGGACCGATTCGCTTCTGCGGCGAGTCATGGTACAGCGGCTCCTGGACTAAAACGATTGGAGATGATGGCAAGGAAAAATGGATCAAGAGCAAGGCCGAGGTGGACATCGTATTTGCCTCTGTCAACCACATAGGCGAAGACCCTTTCGGATGCGTCTCAGGTGGAGAGCTCGTCCTCAGAGGATGGGTGGCTGATATAGACCTAAGCGGAGACAGGTTTCACGAGGAAGTTGAGGCGACGGATGTGTTCAACGCGAAGTGCTACAGCGGTCCTAGCGGCGCCTCCATGGCGACTTACTTCGATAGGGATGCCGGAGAGTTACCCTTTCTTCGTGTCCTGCTACTACAACTAGGTACTGGGAAGAATGCGCGCGGAACGAATTCGAATGGGGACTGTGGTTTGGTTTTAGTGAGCAGGGGGGGAAATAGTACTGTGTATCGCCGAGTAGGCATGTTCGATATTACTGGAGACAAAGAAATGTGGCACAGCTTGCGAAAGAAGGGAAGAGTTCGAATTATATGAGCTAGGCCGCTGATCTCAGCTATAGAGGCACATAAACTATCTCTTAGTTCATACTTATTAGTGGACACTAGAACTAGGCAGAGATACAATCCGGCATACTAGCTTGGAAGATATCCGATCGCCTGACGAATTCTGGTAGGAAGTCATGTGTCGTGTAGTTCGAGCTGATATAGTCGGTGACATCGCTGCTGCTGTAGTCTGGACCCAGTATGGTCAGAACGTGGCGCTTGGCTCTGGCGCGACTCTCTGTCAGTTGCCACAAAGCCAAGAACTGGCACCGGCGGACTGCAATATACTTACAAGTCAACAAAGACCACGTCGGCAACGCCAGTGCAACCTTCAACCCCAAACCCCGCGGCACCCTGATAGAATTGCGGAATATTGTGATACGGAATCGGACTGTGCGCAGTGTCATCACCATCGGACCCAAAGTCATCGGTTGTAATATATCCGGGAACTAGGTCAACCACCTGACGTCTGGTCACAGCCTTGAAGGCGTGGACGTGGCTGGACCCATCTCTAGTCGTTAGGGGTGCAACGATGGGGTCAACGCATAGGTCGAACTCAAAAGGCATAGGTTTATGTTCCTGACCGGCACCGCCACTGTTTAGCTCGTCCAGAAGGGTTGCCGCCTTACCGCAAGCAACTTCGGGAATATAGAGAAGCGAATTCCTGGACGGCATGATGGTGAAGAAGTCATCGTAGGTGAAAGGCCCTTTGTACATATCGAGACGGATCCCACCCGTATTCGCAATCACGTAGCGGGGGATGTCCTTTCTGGTTTCGTTGACAACAACCTCGGCTAGGGCTTGCGACAACAGCGAGAAAATGCTATCGGGGCTGTTGAAGGGCGCACAGGTGATGCAGAAATCTCTGGGCGTACAGCCATAGACCCGACTTAGCTGAAGCTGGTCACGGTACTTGGTAATATCTGCCGTTGTTGACAGCCCGCTCTCGTCAACCTGCTTGCCCACAGCGTGAAACTCGAAGGTGGCACGGTTCCAGTCCAAATATCTACGCGAGTACCGAAACGGGGAGCTGGAGTTGGTAGTGGCCTTGCGAGTAGGGCTCGGCACGCCTCGAGGGTTGGGTGAGATTCCCGTCCAATCACTGTTGCTTTTGTTGAAACCACTCATCGAGACCCACCCCAGTGTCTCGCAATATCGTCCTGTTCAGTGTTAGAATCTTCTCGTCATTATATGAATAGACTAGCCTGACCTGACTCAAGAGCGGTGCTGCTATCATCTAGGACTGCGAAGTCACGAATGTGGGTATGCCCACCAAATATCTGAATAGGGGTCTGTGGGTGAGCCTGGCGAATTGCGTCACGGATAACGCCAAAAGTGCCACCTATCGATGATCTTACTGGGTTATGACCGAGGACCAAGAACATGTCGACTGGCTTGGAGGAGTTAATAGCGTGCTGAAACCAGTCCTGGTTGACCATATCCCTTGCCTTCGTGATCTTGGTAACATCGGTGTTACCTGCATCAGTTAGTTACCTCGACAGAACGGCTGCGATGGTAATGTCTCACGTGTCATATCGAATAGCATGCCAAAGGCAATGATGCGGAGGCCGTGCTTTGTTGTGAAGTACTTGTACTGCTTGCCCATATACTCGAACTTGTTGGCGGCCGGATTGAAGATCCGAACATTGGATGTCAAGTACTTATCTCCCCTATATTAACGCGTCATTGATCAATCGGATTCAAGTTCTCCAGCATTATCAACCTACCAGAACTTGGCAATCTCGTTGAACGTCTGATAAGCCACCTCGGCAAGCAGAAGCTCATGGTTTCCTACAACATACGTGATGAGATACCGAGATTCTTTCGGCGAGTAGTGAATGTACTTACCAATTGTCAAGAGATCGTATTTGAGTCTCTCAAAGATCCTCATTGAGATCGCGCCATTGGGATCTGTTGTATCAGACAAGCCTGTTCCGTCGTGAAGATCGCCTTCATTCTGATTAGGTTACTATTCTCTCTCGTATGAGCTAACTTAGTGCTGACCAGTATCAATAATTAGTAAGTCGGCACCCTTGCTGTCAGCTTGGTTCTTTAAGGTTTCAGTGAAGGACACGAAGTCGCCCCAGTCAGCGCCATAATTGGCATCTTTTAGATGTCCTTCGAGCCAACCATGTGTATCAGTCTTCACAAGATGTTATTGACCCAACGCACGTCATTTTTTGACTCAGTAGGAGACTGACCGTGTGCAAAAAGTTCACTTGACCCCATTCCAAAGCCCTGGTAGGGCCGCACGTCGCATTGGCAGCTCCAGGCTGCATTCTCCTGACATGGCGAACATGCTCGACGTGATTGTTTGCACCAGAGCAGTCGCCACAAGCCAGACTGCTGGAGATGCCAGCAACCAAACTTACGAGCTGTAGGCTGAAATGCTTCATCCCAGCAGCACTTTAGTATGGAAATCTGGACTGGGCGACCACAATGACAGATTCATGCGCACTGCAAAGGGGCAAACGGATCAAAAGGCTTTGGATTTCAAGCAACACTGATATAGGGACGCGCCCGAATTTGAAAAGTTCCAAAGGCGCATGTAGAGTAATCATGCAGCTAGACCCACGTCCTCGTTGTCCCGAAGTATTGCCCGGGATATGGCTTAATAATAGCGAGAAAACGTAAAACGACACCCGGCAGGGTATTAATTAAGGGCCAGACTAGCCACTAACCCAAAGTAGAGGCACTCAGACAGGAATACTAATAATTTAGCTTTCTTTTTATATTTATTCAAATTTATAAAGAATTAATAGAATTTAATGCTTTCTTTATTGTCTTATTATACTAATTAAATACTATTCAACTATAAGCTTTTTACAAATTATTAATTAGTAGTAATTTAATAAATTAAAAAGGTAAAAAACTAATATTTTATAGTTTATAAATAATTAGCTATTTAAGATTCTTATAAATCTTATATTAGATTTTTTGTAAATATAAGCTAGTATATTATAAGACTTATAATATAATTATAGTATAACCTCGCTAGAAGGATACTTAATATAAGGATATCCTTAATATAAGAATACTACCTTAGGATCCCGATAAAAAATTACCCTGAGCTAAGGATATCCTTACTATAAGGATTATCCTTATGATTTTGTATCCCAGCCTTGAATTTTTGGTGTTTTATTCTTATAATTATATATGTAATAGGATAATTTACTATTTTTTATTAGAACTGAGTATATACTAGTATACTATAGTTTATATACCAGATATATATATAGAGTTCTTACCCTGTATAAGCTGAAAAATCAAGTCGTTAACCTCTAAAACATTATAATATTTTTTATCAGGCCTTTAGGCACTAGTAAACCTACATTCTAGGTATTAATCTCACTGCTCCAGAGCTTTTATAGCCTATTACTCTCCCCTTACTAATACTATGGCCCCCTACTAATTCTATGGCTCTCTAATAGCCTAAAAAGAGGCATAGAGCAATAAAAATATTTGTATGTAATCCTTAATATAAGGATACCTCGCATTATCCTTAGTTTTTTGGGACAATTTCGGTATCCTTATATTAAGGTTATACTATATATACTTTTTAATTTATAAAAAAATCCTTTAAAATATAATATCTTATAATTAGGGACTTATAAGGCTCTTATACTTAGTTTTAGTAACTTATTTACTTTGTTTCTAAGCTTTCTCAAGCTTACTTTTAAGTTATAAAATACTAGTTTTTTTAATTTCTTTAATTTATAAAATTATTACTAATTAATAATTTATAAAAAGTTTATATTTAAATAGTTTTTAATTAGTATAACAAGAAAATAGAGAACGTACTAAATTCTTTTAATTCTTTATAAATTAAATATAAAAATAAAGCTAGACTTTTAGTATTCCTGTCTGCGTGCCTCTACTTTGGGTTAGTAGCTAGTCTGGCCCCTAATTGACCACCCCAATCGACACCCAGGGGTCGTGTTAAATGTTCCCGCACAAACCTGAAGTTATCACATTACAACTGTCCGGCAATCCTTCTCTATATATGTCCAGCTCTTGATACCATGGTGCTACTCGAACCAGCAGAAGAAGACGCCATTCCCATGCAGCTCTTGCAGCAGCTATCACGGACTCCATATGTTTGCTCTTCGCTGTCATCACCGCTAAGCAGCAGGCCCGGAAACCTTGTTTATCGTGGCATCTTGGCTCAACCCATCCGTACCCAAGATGGCGCCACAGTTCAGACCATCATAATCAAGCATTCTACGGACTCCGTGCCCAAGATATTCGAGGAGCTTTTGCTCAACGCGCTCGCCAATTACTTACCACCGACAACCACCGCCACTGTCAAGCCACCGCGTCTCTACCTGTACGACCAAGAGACTAACACCCAAGTTCTGGAGGATTTCTCCAATGCCGATGGTTTCAGGGGCATGCTGTTCTCTGCCAATGCTCACAACCTTCTTCCCTCACCCAGCACAGCCGCCATCGGCCGCCACCTGGGGGTTTGGCTTCGATGCTTTCATGCCTGGGCTTCGGCACCAGAGCAAGCTGCTCTCCAGGCTCAGATGTGGCAGAACGACCATATGCGGAAGATCAAGTATCTCTTCACTTACGATAACGTTCTCAAAGTACTCCAAAATTTCCCGGAGCTTTTGGAGGGTCACGAGAAGACCCTGGGCACCATCCGAGATGTCGTAGCAAAGGAGTTCGAGAGGCCATCGACAGGGAATTCGCTCAATTCGGTCACCGATCGTGTGATCTCGGCCGAATCGTGGGCGACCTCTATGAACGAAAGACTTACGGCAATCTCGACACTGCCATATCCACCATGGAAGGAGTCATTGACGGCTACGGCGCATTGAGTGACGAAATGGCCTTCCGGACTGCCATTTGCGTGGGTGTCCATCTGATCAGCTGGTACAACAGGCGACCCCGGAAGGGACCGAGGGTGGCCCCTCTGGAGGTGATTGTGGCTGGCTTAACGGCTGGAAGGGATTTTATGGTAAAGGGATGGGAGAAAGATAGGGCGTTCTTCCAGGGCAGTGCGCTAGCATCTTTGTTTTCTGCAAGATAGACCAAGATTAAGGAAATGCTCGGATGATTTCTTGCCTTGGAAGGGCTGTCAATCGTAGTAGTCCGCTGTGCTTCTCCACGCTCCGAGGATGCTCTTCCAAATGCCGTTCTGCCAAATGCTGTTCTTCCCGACGCCGTTCACATCTTTTACAGGAAAACTGATCAAAGGTGATAATACCCAACCTTCAGCGGTCATCTCTCAGCTTATCGAGTCTTCAATTCCTTTTATTACTTAATAACTTATCTCTCTTTCGATTTTCGCTGTTATAAGTTATTGCTCTCAGGTATAAACTCGAATATGTTTTTAATTTTATATATTTATCTAATGTTTATCTTAAACATCGAAGGAGAATTATAGTTAATTAGCTTTTAATTAAGCTTTTCGTCTAGTTGTTATTTTGTGCATAATTTCTTAGCTTAGCCCTCCTCCGTATTTTATATGAGGTCCAAGGACAATAAACTATTGCCTGTGATCTTCTAGACGCAAACTACCACCACTACTAGTACTTCTACTCTTACTCCAATTGAGGGAGCGCTGACCAGTTGAGTCGGACAAGATGGCCTCAGGGAGTCAAATTGAATATCGACTATCGAGCCCCTTGGTTGGCTTGGCGAGACACGATCTGCTTTGCTCGATTGCTGTTTGATTGCGGACCTTTTCGATAACCCCAATGGGGTGCGGCACAAAAAGTTTCGCTCTTCGCTATCTCTATCGCGTGTCATTGACTGTGCATTGTCTCTAGGCAGATTCCATCGTACTTGAGGACGCAGTTTCGACATGGAGGAGAGGGCCTAGCAATGTCAGTGCAAAACTACGGGAGCGATGTACACGGAGACTCTCTGTTCTCTAGAATTGCTTCACGACAGATCAGAAAAGCATTTCCTCATTTGTCTTCTTCCTATTTTTAATGCTTTGCCGTACGTGTTATCTAGATCCAGCTGGACACCTATGCTCAGATACCTTGGTTGTTTTCAACCACCAGTACGCAGGCTATATAAGCCCTCAGGAAAACCGCACAAGTTCCAATGACCCTTTGTCTCAAAGTCCAATCGAGAAGCGGGATGATCTGATCAATAATTAGGAAAAGGAAAAGGTTAGTCGTGATATACGTCTCCAGCTTCTCGCATCGCGTAATTGACTCCCCCAGGTCGTCAATAAGTTGGTGCGCCGAAGTCAGTTGTTGTTCCTCCTTGCTGCTTCCTGCACTGGCAAAGTCGACCGTCGGAAAGCTTTCTCGGAGCAGACGGGCGACCTTGTCAGCCTTATGCCGCAGAAGCGCTGGCTTCTGTACGTCGGCAGTGGTAAACTTATATCCCTCCACGGCTGGTATCCAGGCGGCAAGGATCTGTGCAATCTTCTCCCTCGACATGGTCCAGACGCTTTTGCGGGCCGGTTTCCGGATCTCCTCGTGGCCATCCATGTATATGATCAGATCCAAGAGCCCATGCTTGTCGTACGCCATCGCAGCAGCGAGCTTCTTCACCAGGAGATCGCGCGAGATGGAATTGTTTGCAAAGGAGATGTAATTACTCCCTTCGAACTTGAGTCTTGTTGCCGACGGGGCATTGATAACGGTCTCCCTCCAGCGATCAAACTTCTCGCCAGAGAGCGTCAAATTACCCGTGTCGACCAAGATAGATTGGTGATCCTTGTTGAGAATTTCAGAGATTTTGGATTCGATAGCTGAGGCTTTAAGACTGATCAAGGAGCAAAAGGCCTCAACTTCGGTCCCATCTTGGTGACCAACCAGGATTTCTGCCACGGACTGTGGACTCCCAGCGACTTCTGAGTGTACCAGCGCTCCCGGGTGGTCCGAGGCAAGATGGAACGCGGCGATGACACAGCTTCGAGTGTTTCCGCCGCTGTTCCGGTAGCGGTGATGGACCAGAGAGCCTGCGCTGAAAAGGACAGTGATGGGCTGCTCAGGGTACTCTACAGTCGGTCCGATCCAAAAGCGACAAAACGGTCGCTCTTTTACGCCCATAATAACTTTTTAACCACAACCTTAATTAATTTATACTAAGTAATGCGATTATAGAATAGAACTAGGCGAAAAATACCTATTAATTAGATTTTTAATATAATTTGTAGTTTATTAATAATCGAGGCTTAAAGTATACGGACCCTTTATACTTTTTTGATTTTTCTCTATATAAAATGCAAAAATATTTACTCGCTAAGGTTACGTAAGCCCGGGCTTTAGGGGGAGATTACGGCATCTCACTAGCCTTATTATTAATATAATAATAATAATTAAGCCCTATAAGCTCAAGTAAGCCTTCCTAAATACTAAATATAGCTTTTTCTAGTACTATATATATTATATATATAGTAGGTCCCTAATTATATAGGTTTTAAGCTAATTTTTGGCCGAACTAAATCTATAAACCTTACTTATTGCTTAGCTACCTTTTTTCCCTTATTTTTGCATATTATCCCATTTATTTATTACCTTTTTAGATATTATTCTATAGCGTTTTTATTTCCGTATATACCAAGTAGCTTGTTTAATACTTAATTTCTTCTAATATATATCTATCTAGCGGAATATACGGTTATAAAACCTCTGTATAATCTTAATTAAATAAGCTTTAAATATCTCTACTACCTTAATCTTGGTATCTGGAAAGCTAGTCTTCTTTACTTAATAATATCGAGTTTTACTATATCCCTAGTATATCTTAATTAGATTGATTTTATAGTAGAACTTTAGTAAAAATATAGCCTTATATTCCCGATTTATAATAAGCTCTTTAACTTAGGACTTCTTTTTAAAGAAGTCTTAGTAATTCGATAGTATACGAGCTAAATAGTATGTTTATTTAATAGCGGGAGGATATTCAAGGGATATAGTATACTTAGTATTCTTTGGATACTTAAATCTTAAGCCAGGGATATTATAATCTCGCTTAATAAGAATTTATTCTATATTCTTAGACTTTCTTTCTCTATTTAAATTAAGTTACTAAAGGACTTAAATAGTGCCCTATAATCCCGGAATTATATACTCTAATAGAAAGTACATATTTCTTCTATAGGCTTTAATATTACTCTTTTTAATCCTCCTTAATCCCTTATTTATACTAAAGGCATTTAGTATATCTTTGCTATATAAAGCATATATAGAAGACTAATTAAATATTAGAATAGCTATATAGTTTGGGTGCTTCTATTTAAATATATTAAATATCCTAGTAATCTATATTAGTAGCTATTTTATATTCTACTAGGGGTCCCTATTTAAGCCTGGATATATAATTTAATAGGTATTTAAATTAAAATTATCCGGGATAAAAATGCCTTTATTATTTAGTATCCTAATATGCCCCTTAGGGCCTATAAATTCAGAATTATAAATTAGCCTCCCTTTACTCTTTCCGGGCATTTTTTACTAATTATCTACTAGCCAGAGGCTCTTTTTATAGTCAAATCCATAGAAATAGCTCTTATTATAAAAGTATATTATATATACCTAAACTCTAATTAGAAGTAAAAATTGAATTATATATTATATACTAGCTTTATTCTTCTTATATTAAACTATATATAATAAAAGCTTCTTTATTAAGGGTAAAAATACCTCTTAATAATACTTAATTATATTAGGGTATTTATATCTATTTATATAAAGCCCTTTCTTAGTTTTATAGTAATAAAAGCCGAGCCTAGGAAGCTATAAGTAAGCTATACTGCAAGTAATAGGCTTTTCTATTATTAATAATAATTGAGGTAAAATCTCCTAATTAATAGTATTTAGGAAATTATTTAGTAATATTATTCCAAGCTCTTAATTAATTAACTAAGTATAGTAGGCTAAAAAAATATTCTTATTATCTAGATAAGAAGTACTTTCTCTTTTACTATCTCTAGTTTCTTGGGGAATACTATGCCACTATTAATAGTAATTAAATAGTTCCCTAATTTGCCAAGCTAGTATCTTTCTATTATTTAAGTAGTAATTACTAGAAGCTACTAAAAGCAATATATTAATTTTTCCAAGTTAATATTACCCTAGCTTTTAAAGCTATTAGGTATATTACCGAAGTAAGTATAAGTTAGTAATTATATATAGAGTATATAGCTCTTTAGTTTAAGCTAGCTTAATATTTATATTATTAAGGACTTCTTAGTAAGTTATTCATATATCTAGAGCTTTATTATTTCTGTAAGTATTTCTAATAAAAGTATCCAAAAGTAGCTTATTTATTCTATTATCTTTATTTTTAAGCCTTTGCTTTTCTCTTAATTATATATTCCTAGAGATATTAATTAATCTCCTAATAATATCAAATTATAGCTTCTTTTATTTAAAAAATAGTATAATTATAGGGGTCTTAAGCCTACTAGATTATTCTATAACTTGAGTATCTTTTGTCCTCTAATTATATATATATTTTTATTAAGTTCTTAATAGCTTTACTAATTCCTTTATTAATTTGGGAATATATAAGCCTCTAGAAGCTAGAAATAATATTAGTATACTTATATTATAATATAAAAATAATAAAATAAGATAAGAAACTTACTAGCCTATTCTATAAGTCTTTACTCTTGCTATGCAAATATAGGCTTCTCTAAAATAATTATCTTATTACTACTAATAATAAGCTTTTACTAAGCCCAAAAGAGAGTTAAATCTTTAAGCTTTACTTCATTATTTTGTTTAATATCCAATTTATTAGAATTGTCCTCTATATTAGAGGGTTTCCCATACCATTCATTAATAGATACTTGGATTATAGCTTCTTTAGCTATAGTGAGAACTATAATTAAATCAAGAGTCGAATTAGCTCGCTTGCGTTTCTAAAGGCTTATAGAGATAGCTATTAGAAGTATATAAAAGGGGTACTAAATTAGGTTTGTAATTATTAAGATATTAATATAATTATAGAAGAGCAGTTAACTAAGGGGGGTAGTCACGTGACAACCAAAGTAAAAAAACAACTATATAAAATGCAAAAATATTTGCTCGCTTAATTACGTATATTATAACTTTCTTAATAATAAAGATATTATAATTTTGAGAACATAGAATTAATTCCTATAGTATATAGTATAGTTTTAATTAATATGATTTATATTAATTAGTATTATGGTGGTTTTTATTTTTTTTTGTCGCTTTTGGATCGGACCGACTGTACTTCAATGACTTTGGGGTCGTGTCCAGTGATGTCGCCTTGGAATGCAAACACACTCTCGATGCTCTCGTCAGTAATAAACAGGCTGTCGTTCTCGGTTGACCAGTGCTGGGAGTGCTCGTCCACTCTGATGGGGCGGTTGCCTTTGTGCGTTCCTGGCAAGAAGGTGAAATTCTGACCAGTGGGACCTTTCACTTGTCCCCTTTCCCAACCGAGCAGGATCTTGTATTCTTCTCGGAAGGGGGTGTTGTCAATATGAAGCATATTGTCTTGCGCATTCACCGAAATTGGTTCCGTGTCTTTGCCGCGGGCATCGGTCATCCTAACCGGGCCACCCATTGCGTATGCCATCATAGCAATGAGCGAGGGTGTATCATGGCGTTGTTGTAGATTGGGTTCTTGAGAAAGTCCGGGTGCTCAGTGAGGTGGGCAAAAGAATGCAAGAAAGCATGGCTTCCTGAACTGTTCATGATGGTCGAGAAATCGTCGATGAGCTGCTGAAAAGAGGCAGCGTCAACCAGTCCGGCGAAGACAGCGCATCCATCGCTCTGTAGCACTTCGACTAGTCTGACAAATCGAGCTTCGGTAGCTACATCTTGCCAACCTTTCCGGAATCCTTTAAGCAACGACTTCCGAAAAGATGCCTTGGATGTGGGGTCTGGACCGTTGCGGTACTCATTCGCCTGGACACTGATGGATGGATTCGCAGATTTCGAGACAATAGACGCGAGCAAAGCGTTGCGCTCTTCGTCTGTGGTTGTCAAAGAGAGAGTGACAGGCACGAGATTATCGAATTGGCTGGGAAAGATCCCCGGAGCCTGGCCAGGAGAACTCTGTTCTTTTCTTTGGAGAACCTTCATGATGCACGCAGCTATAGTTTGGCAATGAAAGAAGGCCCATCTCCTCAGAATCGACTGGATAATAGTATGTACACCGATTTGAGTCCATTGAAATAGAGAATACCCGTTGCTGCAGACCATGCAGGGCTGCAACTGCTTTGGTCTAAGTTCTTACCAGTTCTTTTCGGAGCAATCGTTGCGTAGCTTCTCAAATGCGAGCCTGAGCCTCACGCATGACTCTCAATCTGACAGGTATATCAACGTGCAGATCAGTGTGCATGTCAGCGTGCATATCAACGTGCATGTAAGCGTGCATGTCAGTGTGCATATCGGTGTTCATGTCACTATGCATCACCTAGGCGGCGTGCTCACATGAATCTCATGATGAGGACTCTAAATGACGTTTCAATTGATCTGTGAGCTGGGTCCCTGCTAGATGTAGTTAAGTTGCCTGAGTCAGCGGGTCAGACGGCGATGACTGTCGCACAGCTCTTACTCGCTCTGTACAGGGAAGAAAAAAGTGGCTGATTTGGGGAAGGTGCTCGCTTGGATAGATTTGAAAGCAGTGTGTCCCTGCCAAATCCTTGTTCAGCATATGTACGCTCATATAGCATTCCCAAACCAGGATAATCTCTCTAAAGTAGGAATTTGTACTTGATAAAGTATTAGATCTCTTCTGAATATATATTAGTATTCTTATAGGACTGCTCTTAAAGAGTACCCATATAAAGAAATAATTGTTTTACTTATCTTAATTTTTTTAATTCTTAAATTTTTAATTATATAAGTTTTCTTTTTAAAAATAATATTTCATTTCTTATATATTATATTATTACCTATATAATGACTTTTTAAAATATAATATATAACTAATATCTTTATAAGTTTTATAAATAATTATATTTATAGTTTTTATATTATAATTATTATTTATTAAAAAATTCAAAGTTTAATTTATTTATCTTTATATCTTTTTTTATATAAATTAAAGTATTTTATTTATTAATAAATATATTATAATAAAGTATATCTTATTAATTCAAATCGAAATATTGAACTTTTTATTAGTTTTATATTTTATATTATTATATTAATATATATTTTAGTTATTTATTAAATTGTAATTTAATTAATTATTTAAGGAAACGTATTTAAATAATAATATTTTATAAATCTCTAATATTAAATAGTAATTAAATAATTAAAAATATATAGCTTTCTTAATTCTTATATTAGTCTTAAGAAGGAATTATATATAAAAGTATTTAGTAAGATACTAAGAATAAGCAAGCTTTAATATATACTTTATAAAATAAGCAATTTCAATTTTTGTTTTTATTAATTAATATAATATTCTTCTTTTATTATATCTTTTAAGAAATATATATTACAAAATATTAAAATTAATAAGACTTATATTAATAATGCTTTATAAAATAAAATAAAATAAAATAAAATAAAATAAAATAAAATAAAATAAAATAAAATAAAATAAAATAAAATAAAATAAAATAAAATAAAATAAATAAAATAAAATAAAATAAAATAAAATAAAATAAAATAAAATAAAATAAAATAAAATAAAATAAAATAAAATAAAATAAAATAAAATAAAATAAAATAAAATAAAATAAAATAAAATAATATAATATAATATAAAATAATATATTAATTAACTATTATTAATATTATAGTAATGGTTTTTTTTTAATTTAAGTTATCTCCTCTCTTACTATTACCTTAGCCATAAGTTAACTAATTATACCCTCTCTTAACTGCTATCAAGTCATTTCGCAATTTTAGTATGAAAGGAGGAAAGTTGTGCCTGCACTGGGCCGTAGAAGTAAGGCCTGGAGTTCCCAGAATTAGCCTGATGGCTAGTTCAGTGGAGTGAAAATGGGTCCTCACTCTGGCAGTGATTGTTTTTGATGCGCCCTGCTGCATGATTACCGCTGTGAATTGGCCTGCATGAGGTCAACCAAGTACACCACCATTGATTTTGTCAAGCACACACAAGAGCATGCACAGCCGACTCAGGTCACTTCACAACGGGGACTGGTACTTTTCACCGTTTTGGTCCTGGCAAGTGTATCTCAACTCTCTCAAGCATACATCGAGTGTCTTCGTCATCCTTCGAAACGTCGAGTAGTTACACGATGAAGCCTTCAGAAAAGTACTCGCAACTCCGTCAAAGTGACGACAACATCTCAACGTTGCTAAGACTAGAAGCCGAAGAGTTATCCCCCAATCCGCGTCATGGCTGGACTCGGAATTGTCTTTTTATTCTACTCGGCATTCTAGGTGCCGTGACCTGCCTGATCTTGGGATACGTCGCTCATCCAATGGCCCAACCTTCCTCCCCAACGCCGAAAACATCGACAACAAAATCAACGTCTGAACTTCACTGCGGCAACTCATCCTCCGAAGCTCGAGCGCTCGGCTGCGTGTTCGATCTCCTCACTAACAACTGGATGCCGCAGTACTGCGCGGACCCATACACGGACGGCGAGTACCGTGCCTGGGTCACCGACGCCGGTCGTGAGCTCGGGGCCTGGGCCTTCTACCACGACGACAAGGCCGAGCGGCAAGTGGCCTCGGAGGAAGAGCTGTCGGAACTGGTAGGGGAACACGTCTGGACGACGACGGAAAACCATCTCGCGCACTGCGTGTTCCTCGCGCGGCGTATGCACCGGCTCGTGACGGGCGAGATTGCCGCCGTAGCGCATAACACTTTTGCCCATACGATGCATTGCACTAAAGCTGTTCTCAAAGCCCTTCAGGCCATGGGGGAGCATTCCGGGGACGTCGCGCAGATTGGGTCTACTTTCGACGTGGGTATCGTGTCGTGCTTAGTCTAGGGAAGCTTGCAAGGTCTGGGGATATACGTGTAATCAGGAGCTTAATTACATGCTTTTACTCACTCGTTTGCGAGAACTAAGTATATACAGCAGCTAAAAGACACCTTGGTTGAACTTGCAAAGACAGTAATATGTCGTAGACGCGGAAATCATAATCGAGATACGCAAGTACTTCAGCGACTCGAACATGGTTTGGATACTTCAGACATGCAAGTTGAATTTCATTCACTATTCGCAAAGTAATTACTCTCTAATTCTCTCACCACTATAATCCCCCATCGGCGATCTAGTAGAGTTTCCCGCTGAATACAATGATGACTTAGGTAAACAGCCTAGTACACACAAACGTGGCACGAATAACACCATTGGTACTATTCAAACGGCCAAGGAGTCTCACCTGCGAATGTTGTTAGCTTTTTCCAAAATACAAGATAGATAGCAGGGTTATATGTACCGGTCCACGGATGTTTAAGGATGGGGCCAATAGGAGGAACTGTATGTTCCTCCAAGAACCTCTCCAGCTTGTCCGGGTTGGCGCAAATGTGCGGGGCGTGGTGAATGTTCACAGGGTGCGGATCGTCCTCATGCCACTCAAAGATCAGAAGCGTCATATCAGCGTGGCAGAGCTCTGATTGGCGAAGCCTAGTTACTGGAAGATTAGCAAACATTCTGGACCATGGTTGGATACAGAGAATCTCGTCGTACATGTCGATGCAATGATCTGCATTTGGTGTGTTAGCATGAGTAATCAAGGATGCAACTTCGAAGGTCTTACCAATGTGTCGAGGAATTGGTGTCTCTGGGGTCGGCGGGAATTGTGCTCTTGTTTCAGGATAGTATTCAGGGAGCATCCACTGTCGGATAGTTTTCTATAATCGTGTAAGTAGAATGATGCTTGTAGGTCGGTATGAGCATAATTTGACAAACCAAGCAATGTATGTTATGTATGTAGCTGAAAGTTCCCATGATTCCGCCTTGTTCATCTTGGAATTCTGTGAGGATGGCGTTCGGGGTTGCTTTCGTCCAGCCAGGTTTTGGCACGCGAAGAGTGTAATCTGTTGAAGTATTAAAGCTGAAATGGCTAGGAAATTAGATCAAGGTGGACTTTCTCCTCACGTAATCAGCCCAAGCGGCCTCCAATTCTGGCCGAGGTTTCCCTCGGTATCGACCATGGATTTCAAACTTGTCATCATAGGTTTGAAGTTGTAACTGCACTGCAGGTGCTATCCAATCTGCGTAATAGATGTAAGTTATTTGCTCAGGTACTTTGTGCATCACGAGTATAAAAATTCACCACGGCTGATGGACTGACCTGCGTGTGGCAACCGAACAGATGGAGTGTCTTCAGCCATGGTAACTGCTCTGGGGGTGCTAATCATGAGAAGCAGTCCAATGTTCAGCACTAAAACGAAGGTATTCACAGCCAGGAAAGCCCAGTTTCTCTTCTGCTGCTGTTTGTGTTGCTTCGTAGTCCTTTCGTGACTAAGAAGGTTCTGAGTATCCGAGTCATAGTCTTCATACTCAAACGAAGGGGATCGAATATCCATTGCAACTGTCTCCTTAGAAGACATTCTCCAAAAAGCTGAGAAAGTGGTTCGAGGCCGGAGTTTTTGCCTAGGGGAGGGGACATCAGATTCAAAATCTGACGATCTGAATAACCGCAAGAAAATTATTAACTAGACATTTACCTAGCAGGAAGCCGGCGCTTGTTCCAAGAGCTTGGAGCACACTGGTCGAAATAGGAAGGTCGTAGCCGTAATGGTCTTATTAGTGGGGTTGGTCAAAGTTCATGCATGTAAGTATGCAAGATGACCTTGCACCATAAAGTGGAGAGTTGTAAGCATGCCTCAAACTGAGATGATTACATGGCATCAAGTTAATCACGAAAGGCCAGACCTGCATGCGCAACCGTTCGTGCTTCCCATGGTCATCAGTGCAGAATAGTTTGGTAGACATACAAACAAGATTCCGAGACCATGGCAGATCAAGACATGCTATATATGTGCATTGCAGTGTCCCTACAACTTATCTATCCATCTGTACAAACCATACATTCGTCGCTTGGGCAATTCATCCAACAGCCCTTCAGCTTATACCTTATTCTAACTACCCAGAACCTTCGCCATCATTTGCCCAAAATGAAGTTCTTCCAAGCTATTCTACCGCTCCTGGTTGTTGGAGCTATGGCTTCTCCTATCCTCTGTGAGTCTGATAGAAGCATTGGTATGAATATTACTAACGAAGGATTAGACGAGACTCGGGAGCAGCTTGGTGAACTTGGCAACAGCGACAAGCGGGCGCAGCTTGGCGAGCTCGGCAACAATACGGACAAGCGAGAGCAACTTGGTGAGCTCGGCAACAACACAGACAAGCGAGAGCAGCTTGGTGAGCTCGGCAACAACACAGACAAGCGAGAGCAGCTTGGTGAACTCGGCAACAGCGATAGCTAGAGTGTTGCTTTCGGTCTTTTCTGTAGGGCAAGTGCGATTCAATAGCTGCGGAACGGTTGGTAGGGCGTGGGAAGGACTCAAGACAGTTTGTGGTCACATCAGGAATTTTTGAGTACAGTCGGTCCGATCCAAAAGCGACAAAAAAAAATAAAAACCACCATAATACTAATTAATATAAATCATATTAATTAAAACTATACTATATACTATAGGAATTAATTCTATGTTCTCAAAATTATAATATCTTTATTATTAAGGAAGTTATAATACACATAATTAAATAAGCAAATATTTTTGCGTTTTATATAGTCGTTTTTTTACTTTAGTTATTACGTAACTGCCCCCCTTAATTAACCGCTCTTCTATAATTATATTAATATCTTAATAATTACAAACCCAATTCAGTACCCCTTTTATATACTTCTAATAGCTACCTTTATAAGCCTGTAATAGCGGGATTAATATAATAGTCAAAGGCTCAAAGTTCAAAGAATCTCATATATTAGAAAATACTAAGCTATAGAATAAAGTAGGAAGGATGCCTCGACCTTTAGTATTATTCCGTCTAAGTAATTCCGGCTTAGCTTCGTTTTATACCTGTTTCTAATATCCTGTCCTTAGTAGATTATACCCTTATACTAGTTATTATATTACCCCCCCTCCCTAAAAAGAAGTCTAAATGCCCTTATTTAGGAAATTATTTAGCCATAATATAGAAAAGAAAAAAGAGGAAATAATAGCCATTAACCCTATTCCGTCTAATTCCTATAGCTTACTTATAATTAAAGCATAGTCTTGACTCTACCAGAATAACCTAGTTCCTAGTATATTCCAGCTAGTCCTTAGTATCTATTACTCGTATTATGCCTATACCTATATTAATAATATAGTCTGGGAGTACTATATAGGCCATGGCTAATATTAGGACTTTTATTATCGGGCGGTCTTCAAATAGAAGTAGTAGATCAAGTCTATTTATTAATACAGGTTTTAATATAATAGCTTGCTTATCTTTCTTCTTAGTTAGGGTAATAATATTTGGCTTAATTATACTATTTCTGAGCTACTTAATTAACTTCTGGGCCTTCTCGAGCTTAATATATATATATTCTCAAGTTATTCCTCTATAATAGAGACTTATATATTAAGGGCAGCCACTTAAGCTACTTTATTATTAAATCCCCGGGCCTTGAGCTATATGATTTTGGTTTTATAGGAGCTTCTAAAGAGTTTTCCGATTTCTTAAATAATATTATATACTAATTCATTAATATTTATAAGGTATTACTTCTTTAATTCGGCTTTTAGGATTATTTGCTAGCTCTTAATTTTAGACTAGCACTTTATATAATAACTACTATTTAGTATTATATGTCTTCTGGTTATAATAGGTATCTTAATACTAGTTTGGCTACCTTTATTATAGTTAGAGTCTTCTTTATTACTAGAAGTCTTTCTATTCTTAGTCTTTTTATTATTAGAATTCTTGCTATTATCTAATGCCTTATATTTCTTAAATAAGCTAGCCTTACTCTTTTTGACTTTCTTAGTATTTGGCTCTATAAGATTAATAAGGTAGCCCTTATTAGTACTATCTATTCCGCTTATTAGACTATTAGACTTATTATTACTAGTAACTAAAACCTTTATTTTATTATTCTTAGAATATTTTACTAAGATATTTTCTATAGTAATTTTAGGTATATTCTTAAAAGTAATACGGGCCATATTCTATATATTAACCTATTCTTAAGTAAGGAAATTACTATTTTCGTTTATAAAAATAGTTTAGCTAGTAATTATATTAATAATAATAATAGTTACTAAACTTGAGATATTACTACTATTACTTAAGTTATTTAGAATCTGGTAAGTAGCCTTATTTAGTCTAGCTATAGATAATATATTACCGGGATTTCTTATTTATTTCATCTTTATTAATAGTTCTATTAAAATAATAATAGTAATATAAATAATTAAGGTTATAAAGATTAAAGTAATTAGGAAGATTTCCCTTAATTTTTAATAATATTTCGAACTAATATAAGTAAGTATTTACTTTTAGCTTAGCTTTAAGAATTTACTTTTTTTTTTTATAATTTGTCTAGATAGTAAAGTATAATCTAATATAATAAAAAAAGATATTTTACCTAGATTTCTGGAAAAGAAAATAGGTACTAATATAGTAGAATAAAGGAAATATATTAGAGTTTAGATAAAACCCGGGAAATATCTAGATTTTTCTTTTCTTTCTCTAATTATAGAGGCCTTATTATTAAGGTTTATTATTATCTGGGTAGTCTTTATTAAACTCGTCTTTTTTAGTATACCAAATCTATTTATTTAGCTAGATAGAAGGTCCTGCTTTACTAGGGTTCTATTTATAGAATTTATATAGTTTAAGTACTAAGTTTTTAAAGTTTAATATAAGGTATTATTTATTATCTATATCCTATTCTTTTTATTTAATCTTATAATAAAGCTTACTATAAAGTACCTTGAAAAAGAGAATCTTTTCGACTTCCTATTTAAGTTTACTATTAACTTTAGTAGAACTAGGCTCTTTATTAGTCTGGCTAGATAGTAGATTAGTAAAATCCTTATAAAGTCTATTTATATAGAAAATTAGCCAAATCCTATATAATAGAGGAAGATCTAATTAATATAAATAGTCGACTATTTTATTAATCTTAAATAGTCTAGTAAGAAAGTAGTCTAATTTATTAGATAAATAGTCCGTTTTCTATATCTTTTTAATTATATAGACTATATTTCCTGAACTAAAGTTCGGTTCTTACTATTTCTTATTAGCTTACTTAGCTTAATATTCCTAAGCTACTACTATATATTCTCGGGTATAATTAATAGTAGTATTAATTCTCTTAGCCTACTATTATACTTTCTCCTAATTAAGTTTCTCTCTTAGTATTTTAAACTCTATTATTAGTAATATCTAGTTAAAGTTTAGCCTGGGTTTATATTTATAGTTAATTATTAAGGAAAATAAGCTAGTTAATTTATATAGACAGGTAGTACCTATAATATTAAGTACTAGAAATAAATCTGCCTAATTATCCTAGAAATAATTAATAAAGAAATAAAGTCGGGTATTAATAATCTGGTTAATAATTTCTGTTTATTTATTAGTTTAGATATATTCTATAATTAAGAGCTTTAGCTTAGTTCTAGTTAATCTTAATAGTTTATTTATAAAGTCTAAAATAAATTAGGGTCCTTAATTACTTGTAATAGTAAAGAAAGACCTTCGGAATTACTAGATATAATAGTAGAATAGGCTAGTAATAATCCTGGCTATAGTATTCTTAGTTATTAGTAGGCTTATATATTATTTAGATAATTAATTAACTATAACAAATATATTATTACATTTTTTATTTATAGAACTAGAGATATAGAAGTCTATAAACAAATTATCTCATATTTTTAAGAGAACCGGTAATAGGTATAATAGGTCTAGTATTTTATTTCTTGGCTTATAAGACCTTTAATATTTATAGTAATTTGCCATAAAGCAGTTAATATCTATAGAGAGAATAGGCTACTAGTAAAGTCTCTAAACTAGGATTTTTATCTTATTTTAACTAGAATATATAGTAATTATTATATTATAAATTTATTATAGAAGCCTAGTTTATAGATTATTATATTTATCTAATATAATAAGTCTTTTATTACGAAATATATAGCTATTTAATATTTCCTATAGTTCCGTATTTTCCCGAACTTTTCTATATTTATTCTCTAGGGCTAGGTCTATCTAATTAGCTTATAGAACTTTAACTATAATAAATAGCTTATCTATTTCTTTTACCTTAGTAAGAATATAAGCTATATCTATTATTTTAGTAAAAGCGAGAATTAGGTCTAATAGAATAACTTATCTAGTTCTTTTGGCTTCTTTAGCCTATTTCTAAGTTAATATAAGTTTATTCTTTCGGAATAAGATATTAGTAATAGTATTATCTTTATCTGGCTAATAGGTAATCTAGTAATAGAATTATAATAGGAAACCTATTTATTAGATTTATTATTTATTTAAGAGCTTCTTAGTACTAAAATACTCGAGAGCTTTATAGTTAGTAATAATTAGAAAATTAGGT